TTCACAACTCAAAAGACTCAAGTATCAGCCCTTTCTCTCTGCAGCCAGGCTAATGTGCACCACAGAGTCTGAGAAACTCCCCTGTCACCTACATTAATTCTTATCTTGTTGTTCTTGGCTACACTTCACTGAAGTACAGTGAGGGAGAGTGCTTCAATCAATAATGTGGATCCAAGGGAACACCCCTCTGCTGTTCCTCGGGATCAGCTCAATAGCACAAAGCAAACGTTCACCCAACTGGGGAACTTGGGAAATATTAGGACTTCCAGAACTGGAGCATAAGACACTGAGGTGGCCTCATGAGGATGTTTAAGCTCACATGGACAATTGCATCACTCCAGGGTAGCTTTCTGCACTTCTGAGAGTTTGCTACTCAATAAAAAAATGCAAGAGCTCAGAGCTCTCAGTAGCCTCAGTGACAGAGGCCTTGCATTTCACAGCAGATTCCATCAGAAGTTCCACTTTGCCACTCTCCTGGAAACCCCGAGGCACTGCTGTCACAGCCTGTGAATCTGAGATTTTGTCATTAAGGAAGGATGATGCCCTTCAGAAGGTCCAACTGTAAACACTCACAAATGCTTGGTCTCTCATTCTTCAAAGGGGACCATACCCCAGCTAAGGACAGGACTTACTGAGAACTGCTCCTCTGGAGCTGTGGCATTTCCAGATTTGGAAGTACGTGGGAGCTAAAGGGAGATGCAAGCAGAAAATCCCCAAATGTTCCCTTACAAATACATTGGACTCTTACCCCATGAAAAGGGAATTCACTTACTAACACTAGGCTAAAAGGGGCTAAAAGTAGCTAAGTAAAATAGAATGTGCATCTTTCAAAAAAAGTAGAACAAGAAAAATTCGGGGATTACAATGAAATCCCTGATTAAGGAAGAGACCCGAAGAGACCTGAAATGTAAAGGTATCCTGGGTATGTGCAGAATGAACAAGGACAGAAATGCAAGCAAAGTCTGAAGTATCAAGAGAATTCTCCTTATTTTCCTGTGTTTGAAATATGTCTAACAAATAAGCTCAGTGACAAATAAAGAAGTAAAAATCAAAAGTGCTGTCATGATTTAATTAGATCCCAGCCTGATGTAAATTAAATTAATAAAAAAAAAAAAAAAATCCTTTGACAACCTGAGAGCCGTTTCTGAAGTCTCCAAAGCAGCCTTGCTGCTCTTGAAATGACTTCCTGTGAGATGGTGAACAATCTCTGCTTTCTGCATTAGGGGAGTCATTCACCTGAACCCAGCAGTGTGATCAGTGTGAACACCCTGCTGCCCAAACTGCTGCCTGACAACATCTTCCCAATCACTCAGGAGGCTCCTGCCAGCAGAACATTAGCTGACTCCATTTCTCTAAGGAAAATGCCTGGGTTTCCTGATGTTTCCAGCTGTGTTTGTACAACCTGCCTTCGTGTGAAGTTGAAAATTAATGCACTTCCTCTTGGTCCTTTGAATGAGAGAAAAAAGGAAGATTATAAAAATTAATAAAAATGCCAAAGCTCAATCCTTTGTCCCTGTTGAACAAGGGTTTTTAAATAAAGATTGCTGAGCTCAAGCTCCTGCATAAAGCTAAAAGCTGCCATGTAACCTGTTGCTCTGACACTGTGAACAGAATATTGGTTGGCTGCACTGCAGCTCATTCACATGAGTAAGAGATAAAAATAAAACAGGCTTTCAATGTGGACTGTTTTGTTGGGAGTACACCCTGGAAAAATGTATTTCGGCCTTTTCTCACAGGGAGCTGGCAAAGAAGGGAACATTTGTTTATTTTCTTGATTTTTGCTTAAAGCCTAAAGTCTGTCTTTTTTCACTGGTTTTCTTTCCCTTGGTATTTTAATTTAATGGAGTTACATAATATTCTAATAGACAAGGTATCTGTAGTCCTTTTGGTTTAGATTTGTTTGAGATATGTTACCACCTAGCTAATCCTAACTCAGCGCAGAGCCTTGGCAAAAAGAAGTCTCCTTGTCAAAGATTTAAGAAGAGGGATCTTGCTCTTTGTTTTTATGCTGAAACAAGGAGAACAAGCCTGATTCCCATGTTGCTTTAATGTAAAGGGAAGAAGGATGGAACAAACCTCAACTGGTCTTTGTGTGATCTGAAGGAAAAACAGGGGAGGAGGTAAGGGGGAGTATTTTTACAGTTCATCTTTCATGGAGTATAAAGACTTTCCTTAAATGAATGTGTTAATATGTTGGACATACTCTACCACAAACTGCTGAGACTTTTACCTGGAAAAATTTCCCCCACCCCCTCCTTGGAGCTGCTGGTTCTGACAGGCTGCAGCTCCCAATACCTCTACCCAGCTAACAATGCACAGCACCTTGTTCAAACAAGACTGGTCTCCATTTCACACTACCCCCCCAGGGAATATTCACTTTTCTCTTCAGACTGTATCTTTCTGACTGATGCAATCAGATTCTGGAAACCTGCCTTATTAGTTTATATTCCAGCTTCTTAGGGAATGATGTTAATTTTCCATTGTAGGACCAGAAGATTTGAGATGTGCTAGATCTTGTCTATAAGAAACAACCAAACAGTGGCACAGGCAGTACCAGGGTTAGAAATGACTGCAGTGAACAGCACTCCTTGCACAGCAAGTCCAGGAGTCACAAAAGAGACAATCTCCTAACTCCAACAGTGCTTGAAGAGAGGTCTTTTACAATTACACAATGAATAAATAAAAGTGCATTTTCTTACTTATTCACTTGAGATATTCTGCCTAATTTCTGCACCAGTTCACCATCCTAATTGTTTTCTTCCCAGATCTGTGGTTTACTACTAAGCCTTTGCACTGTGATGGCCAAAGAGTTCCATTATATCCATTAAAGATTAGATCATTTTCTTTGTTTCCCACAGCAAATAGGATCCCATTCATGTCCCAAACCGAATGTCAGTAGTTGGAATGATGTTTTCTTAAGGTGCATATAAGATTAAAGACTGAAATCAGATGCAGTGTTGCCAAAGCCTTTGTAATATGCATGTTTTTCATGGCAAGATGATTGACAAGAATTGCAGGAAGGTGCTGAAGGGGATATTTCACCTGGCCCATCAAAACTCAATGCAGAGGATTAGAACTAAGAAGAGCTGACAATATTGACTTTGAGTACCACAACGGAAACATAATTAGCTCTTTGACAGGTAGTGGACAGAAATATTCCATTTTTAAAAAATCAGTTAGAGTAATTACAGCATATCTGTTGCATGCTGCCCTGGGAAAAAAAAAAAAAAAGAAAAAAGGTCTGCTCTGCTGTTTCCTCTTTTCCCAGTAAAATTCAACTTTGGCACTAGAATAAATGCTTGCAAACCCAGCCTTTCTGCTGGAAGAACATCAGGAAAACTTTGTGCATAAAAGTAAAAAACCTCTCTTAAAAGAGAGCACACAGATCTGAAAGAATGAAAAAGTCAATGAATTTTATACAAGTTTACGTATTGCAAAACAAACTGTCTGCACTATGCTTATTAAAGGCATATTTCATTGCCTAATCATAGATGTCTATTGTACCTTTTATGTTTTGAATCATAATTGCAGCCTGTTCCCCAACTGTAATAATGAAAGACGTTTTGGCACATGCTCACATTGACTCCCCTTTAACAAAGCACTTAAGACACAGACTGGCATCCCACTGCAGTTAATGGGCAGCATTAACTCCGGGCCCTTGATGTCACTGAATTTAGACAAATGGCAGTTTGTATGGGCACAAAATTGCCCACTGTTGGCCAGCCAGGAGCCTCTGAAGAGAACCCTTCAAACTCCAAAGCCTGCACGACGTGCAGCTGCTTTGGTTAGAAACACACTGCACTGGGCAAAGGGGTTTTATGCTTTTATCAGAATAACTGTGCTGGGAAAAAAGGGTATCTGCTGTGCTGAACTGTCTTTTCCAGCTCCTGCTCTGCAATAATCTGAACTGTAGAAACAACTTTCAGTAGGTGTAATGACACGTCCCAGAAATGGGAAAAGGCAAAACTTAATTGTACACAATACCTTAGCATTGAGAACAAGTTATCATTAGGTGTAATACAAATAATGCAGTATATTCAGCTCTCAATTTATAAAGATTATTGTCTGCATGCTTGTCTGTAATTCTTTTTGTTTTGGGATTAAGTAGCATATGAAAATAAGGAACAAAAAAATAATGAAGAGTTTTCTTACCTTATTCCCTTTTTTAGCCATTGTTACTAGATATCCTAATTAGTTAGAACCTGCAATGAAATATTACAGGAAATTAAAACAGATTAAAAATGCAGAAATCAAAATGCCTTTAAATACAGTAAAGTCAATATTCACTCTCAACATCAAATCCAAGATAATACTAAACCAACCTGTTTCAGCAGCTCAGCATTACCTGACAATAATGGGAACTTCTCATCAAAATCAGTGCATTTACAGAAATAAAAGAAAATTGAGATGAACTGATCAATGTTCTCCCTTTCTTTTCTGACAGAGAAGTTTCTCAGAGTTCTAAATGTTGCTGGTCATTTCTCAATTAGTTTTCCAACATTTTTACCCAGCAGTACCTATAGCTGCTAACTGGCTTTGTTCCTATGCATTTTTTCCACTTTGTGTTCTGGTTTAAAACCCAAGGTAAATAGCTGGGGTAGAATAGTTTGGCCCTGTACAATCCTCTGACTGCACTGTATTTCCAGGGAGTTTACTCTTGACCTCAAGCAGGATGTCAACACACAGGGACAGTGAAAATACCTGTTAGATCTCATTAGCTGCAATAAACAGGAGAGTGTTTGAAAACATACTTACCAAGTCTACAGGTTCCCTTAAATTTAAAATAAGAGGCCATCCAGCCTGGAAAAATCTCCACGGTTATTCAGTTTACACACAGATACAGAGAGGTATCAACATTTCCTTCTTAAAAGGTCTGAGTCTGTCTACTTCTTCATTTCCTTAACACACACTTCAACCAAGAGAAACAACAGCAAGATCAAAAAACAAATCTATTGTAAGCAGAAAGCATATGTACAAAATTAAGCAAATACAATCACACATTTACTAGAAAAAATATTCTTTATTCATTAATTAATGCACAACACAATAAATATTGGAATCACACATGTAAGGGACCCAGCAAAGCTCAGACTTGTTTGCACCATGGTGTGGTTTGACAAACAGATCCTCATCAGCTGGCATCCTGTGAAGCCTGACTCAATTTGTTTGTTTTTTACATTTTCACATGCAATTAGTAATTTGCAGTGTACATCACTTGTTCCAATTGACATTAGTCAGGCTTTTAAATAAAACAATTCTTAAGCACCATCCCTGGTGAATCCTGCAGGAAAAAAGCACAGTCACAGCAGTTGTCATTATTCTGCCCTGCTGCTGATGTTGCCATCAGGGTTATGCAGCTGTGATGTGTGTTCAGTTTTACTTCAGTGGGGCAACAGCATTTTCCACTAAATGAGGAATAGAACTGGGCTGCTACTGAAGAGACAGGAACAATGTTCATCAGAATTCTAACACCAAGGCAGTTCTGTTACTTCTGAGAAAGATGACATGCCTTAGTTTCACACACTGAGCACACATTTCCTCGAGATCTCCTTATTTGCTGTCCCAAATCATTATTTTCAACTTTATGATGAATGACATTAACTCATCTTTCCACTGATTTGTCTGTAGGGACAGACTCCTTCTGCTGGATGCATTGGTGGGGCAGAGAAGCTGATTTTACAGGGCTAAAAACCAGTGCTTTCACTTATGGGAAACCAAAGGAACTATCAAAGGTAATCACTAGAAAAAAATCTTGCATGCATAGACATTACAATTCAGTCAGAGGTGAGAGATTTCTCACAGAAAGTTCTCTGTTTCAATTGTTAATTGCAATATTAAGTAAAACATTTTAAGAAACCCTAATGTATTATGAACTCCTCCTTTGTGAAATGTAATAGGGTTTTTGGCTGCACCATGCTCATAAGATCTTTATTAAAGGAAGCAGAAAGTTCTGACTGTGCAGGTATGCATGCATTTATATACAAAGTTTTCATCATTTCTTCTAAAGGCAGCTGTAAAATGCAGGCAGTGTTTCAGCTACACTTCCACTCAAAGTATTTCTTTTCAATTACAAACTTATGGATGAGTTCACAGATGAAAACTGGCAGATGTGACAGGGAATGCCACTTGCAGCCAAACCATATCACTCCTTCCTATTTTATGGACCAGAAATACTGACCAAAACTCAGGAAATTTTGTAAAGAAAGCGTTTGAGATTTCTTTTGTTGTTAAAATAAATAGTTGAAAATTCAATATTCTAGTATCAATGGAAGTATGATAAATGCCGTTACATAATATTTTACAAGGAAGTTCTGATCCTTTTTTTCTAGTAGTTTCTCTGACAGGTACAATTCTCGTGGTAAAAAAGATTTCACGGTCATACCAAACCAGCCATTCGTCTGTGTTGCAGCAGTGAAACAGCAATCAAATTAAAAATAGCAAAGATAGACACGATCATCAGACTATTCTTCTAAACTGTGCAACAAGCTTGGAATGAAAATATCAAATTCCCAAAAGAAAACACTGATATCAATTAACTGCAAAAAGGATACATTTGGTTTCACCTCCAGCCCATCTCTTCGTTTCCTGTGATCACTATTCTGCTGTAAAGGGTGCAAGAAACTCTGTGTCTATGCATAGCAAAATACTGCGACTTCCACTGAAGTTCGGTGCAGTTTTTGTGCTTGCCTTTGTCAGGCCACCCTCTCACCGGGCTCTGCACAAGCAGCTTCACTCTCGGGTGTTCCTTTGCTGCCACAGATTAGGCAGCACCTCCCCCTTCTGGAGAGCCCGAACAGCAGCAGGAATTCGGGACAGGGCAAGGCTTTCTCAGTCGGGCCGGTAGGCAAAACAAAGTTTGCAGAGAATTATTTTAGATCCTTGTTCTGAGCACGACTGTCTCTTTTCTAGATCGCTGGTTAATGTAGTTCCCTTCACTAATGTGTTTTAGCACAGCCAGACCTAAGTCAATTCAGATGTAGTACCCAGCTCATCAGTGAGAAAGTCTTAAAAACAAACCAAGAAAATATATCAGTGTCAGCCAGATTTCTGCATTCTACAAAAGAGAAAATGCTACATAAGTTGGATTATTAGTGGGTTTGATTCTACTTGTCAGCATTGCTTAATATGCACTGTTCAAGCAGTAATTTGTGAGATGTGTCAATTTAATTTGAACTGAACTAAAAATTTCAGGAGTAGGCAGAGAAATCACCATAAAATTCAACTCTTCCTTTAGCACCTCTGAGCTCATTCATTCTCAGCCATCATCATAACATTGTGCCCAGGATGCTACTGATTAATGCCCTGGGATTCTTCCAGCAGCAGCACAGCCTCAGTGATAGATGATTTTCTATTAAATTCCTGTATGTATTACATTTAGAAGAAAAATCCCGAAGATGACTGCTTACCCATTGTTACACACTCTGGGAACTTGCTTCTGCTCGTGAGCACAGCCTCAGCAGTCACTGCTGGCATCAGTAAGGAGCTGTGCAAGCTCAGGACAAAGCATCACATCAAACTGCCACGGGAGGCCCTGTCCAGCCCCCAGCATCTGTGGCACCATCTCGGGAGGCACTTTGCCAGCAGTGCCAGCAGAGGAACCCAGGGAAAACTGCTGCACTTGTAGGTGGCCTCAGGTGTCCCTGGCTTCAGTTACATTCACATGTAAAATACTGGGATTATTTCCCAGCTCCCAGCAAGAGAAGGGTTTTAGGCACTTTGAAAGAGAGAGCTTTGTTACAGCAGGACTGCATTGGTGTTAGAACTGAGATGGTACAAGGATCAAACCATTAATGCTGTTTCAACTCTAGGTGCCCCCTTTCTTCACAAACATATTTTGTGCTTTTTTCCTTCTTTCCAGGGATGGTGTTTAACCTCAGCAGCCTGTGACTGTTGCATCCAAGCCAGAACGCTTTGTGATGTGCAGCTTGGTGACCTCCTCAGCACAGGTGGGGTGGATGCCAACTGTCTTCATCAGCTGAGGATACGTGGCACCACACCTACCAAAAACAGCAGAAAGACCCACACAGTCAAATGCTCTTCACCTGAAACAGCCAGAAGGTCCAAAAACATCAAAGTAATTCTGCTCTTGTCCATTTTATCAGGTAGAGGAGCTCATCTGTTTCTCACACAATGCTGTCTCTATTATTTCTCAGGCACTTACACAACTGTAGACGCCCAACTTCATGGCATTGAGGCAGGGAAGAATTGTCATAAGGGTTGAGACAGAGACAATTAAGCAATTTACCCAAGTCACAACTGAGCCTATGGCAAAAACATCTGACAAAACTGCAACCTTCAGCTTTTCTTGTACATACATGTGTGTCTCACTAACTCAGATGGAAAACAATGCACACATGCACACAGAGGAAGAAAATCTGAATCAGAACTGCTGGAAAGAATCTGCTGAAGGAAGCAATACCAGAATATTATTCCATGATCTTACAGAAAGTCACTGGTGCTTATACTGAACATATCAATGTTATAAGCAGGAGAATAAAAAGCCTCTTATTTGAAAAAAAACCAATCCAAACCAAAAAAACCCCACCAGAAAACCCTTCAGCTAAAATCCCACTTGCTTAATTCCTTTACTTGTCCAATACATTCTTAAGACTTGATGACTTTCCTTTGAGCTGCTATTCCTGGCAGGTCATGCTTTAAGAATAGCTGAAATGGCCCTAAATTTAAGAATTGTTTCAAGCTCTCTATGGAACAGTGTTATCTCCCTCTACAAATTACAGGGAAGGGAGCCATAGATACTTTCTGATGTCTGCACGTCCAAAAAGCACCGACAATCAGAGGATCATTGCTGAGCACAGATGTTACTGGAGTGCTAAGTGGGGAGGGAAGATGAAAAATCGTCCTTCAGAGAGGCTGAAGTGAGACCCAGTGCTTGACAAAGGAGAACAGCTCTTCCAGTGAGTGTCCCATACTGAAAGCTCTGGATTTGTGAAGTGCAATAGAAACCAGTACAAGAACCTGACCTGCTGAAAACCTCTTACTGTGGCTAAAATTTTAATTTCCCTCAAGCAAGGCAGAAAAGCACTCCAGTTTCATGTGCTTCCTTTTCAATGGTTATTTTGGATAAAACTTCAAAACAATGACATCCTAAAAAATGTAGTTCTAGAATCTATACCACTGGCAATTAAAGGACTACAAACACATGTTGAAAATGTGTACTGAGGGTACACTGCAATCAGTGATTTCCAAGATATTCCTTACGTGATACTTGCGGTCCTGCCTTCTTAATCCTTTCTGCTTTTCATTTATGCTAGTCACTCACATCTCTAAGACTAAAACTGCAATAAAATGGTGAGCACAATTAGGAAAATGAACTCACACCACAACTCAGGGTGATTTACTGTGTGTCCCAGACTACTTTCTTCAAAGAGGGAGTTAAAAACTATAATTTAGTAATGTAAATATACAAATCAACATTTCTGAAGATAAGGATGATAAGAAGGGAAATGTAACAACAAATATGAAATAATTGTAGCCCATGGGAGGCATAGCAGGAATTTTCCATTTACCAGAGAGGACCCAGAATCATTCCTTACTCCTTCAAAGGGAGGGCTTCTATATTAATATTTGAGGAAAATCTTGAACAAGATCTGATCACAAATGGTAAGTTTGTTATTGCAATTATCAGCTAGCTCCAAACAAAAGTACCTCCCCTCTCCCATAATCCTACAGAAGTTTCTTTTTTACTATATTATGATTAGCTTATACCTCAGAAGCATATAGGGATTCATGCAAGTCCTTGCTGAGCTTTTGAGGAGCAATGGTTGTGCACATTTAAAGATAAGATTAGGAAATCCTTGGCAGGTGTAAAGAAAGGTTTTTATGAAAAGCACAAATATCCTTTAAAAGAAGTAGCTTGCAAAACTATATAGTGATTGCTTATTCTGTGCATAGAATGCAAAAGAGGCTACACTGAAAAACACTGACATTAGTAAGTTAATGCACAATTTTGGTTTTTGCTTTAACTATATCAAGTCAACAATATATTTTCCTCAGTTGTTTCCTTAGCTATATCCAGTATTACAGTAACTAGACCCGATACATCTTAATGAAGAACTGCAGTATTTTAAGTGAAAATATGTGCAACACTTCACAAAAGTAACAAAAAGCCTGCATTCTTTATAGTGTTGCCAAAACTAGGCAGCTATCTTTTATAATCTTACAATAACTTAAGAAGCAGGCTTTAGAAGCTGGAGACATTCTTTTGTACTTACTTGATTCCAAGAGCAAATCCTTGAATAACTTCGCCTGCATTTGGTCCAATGAAATGAAGGCCAAGTATCCGTTGCTCCCTCCCTCGTAAGCACACCATCTGAAAACAATACATGACACAGAGATCCTCCCTTAGAACACTTAAAGATAAGGCAGGAAGGTGAATTAAATGCAACTGAAGTGCCCCAGGATCCTAGTTCAGCTGGTCGTTTCCAGGGTGCCAAAAACTTACACACTTGCTCCAGTCTCACTGACTTCAACGGGTCTTACTCTGCTCTTGAGCACTTTGCTGGACTGAGGCTTCAGCAGGGTATTTGTGTCAGACTGCAGGGAGCCACTGACAACAGTCATCTGTGCTATTGAATACTTTGGTGTTTGTCATTTGTTTGAAAGCCTCGAAACACTTTCTGTGGCCTGGTAACCAGAGCAATGTTCTTTTCCCCAGACTGGCCACCTCAGCACTTCTCCAGGCCTGGGCAGTTATTGCCAGCAGCTCATCAGCTGGATTGGCACAGTTATGCCAGCAGCTCATCAGCTGGATTGGCACAGTTATGCCAGCAGCTCATCAGCTGGATTGGCACACATGACCACTGCCAATGATGGGACACTTTGGGCCTTTGTGATTCAGGCAGGAAGCACTTGGAGCAGTGTCTGGGGGGACACATTCACCACACTGGCCACACGACCGAGCTTTCTGGGTCAAGCCTTGGAAGCAGCCAAGTATGAAGGTGAGTTAATAAGGATCTGGGAGAGCTGAGTCACTGCACACTTAACTTTTATTAGAGAACGTAATGAAAACTTTTTAGTTCCTTTAAGGACACCATCTTTATAATTATAGAAAAGAAAGAGTCTCTCCCAGCATCCTCCCATCAAGCATTAAATCATCACTAATCCAGGAGGTTCTGCTGTTCAGTAAAAGCTTGAATTCTTTCCTCAGGAATGCTGGGAACAGCAGCAATCCCGACATGTAACTTTAAATTTTGAGGAGTTTTAAAGAAAAAACTCTCTTGCAATAGAGTTTGAAATACTCAAGTTAAATGTTTTGAGAGTTTAGTAGGGACTATATTCAATATCTCCCAATAACTATTATGCTATTACTACTTCACCCTCAAATATTTACTTTAACTGACATAATTCAAAGGGAATACATAAAAGGAAATAGCATCACCTTAGTTGCACTGGTAGTTGGGACACTTAAGGCAAGTTACTAAGGCACTTATATAAATCAGATGTGACAAAATACAGCCAGAAAAACTGGCTGCAACTACTGACAATGGACATCTCTTACATAACAATAACAACATAACACTTTATCATAGAACTGATGGACCTATTTATGCAAAAAAGATTGTTCCCTGATGTTAAGGAGAAAAGAAAGAAAAAGAAAACTATGATATATTCTACCAACACTACACTTCACCTTATCTAAGATTCTCTACTAAGGGCAAGTGCATCAAAAACCTTTCCAACACTGAAGCGACTGGATGGCTCTAGGAGAAGATATATTTCAGGTCTGACACTTTGGTCTTAGCCAGGAGCTTTTTGTTTTCCTGAGTAAGACTGAACAGTTACTCTACTTTTGTAAGCCTTATGCTTAATTCTTCTGAAGGTAGCATACTTTGCCAAGAGATGGCAATGCAAATATTACATGTAACCAGTTAAAAACTTTGCTGGGAGAAGCAGAGATTGATGTCTATAGAATTTGAAATATTTCTTAGGACCTTAAGAGCAGTCCAAAGACAGTATTAGTCAGCAGAATGTCAGTTCTGAGAAATGCTAATATCTGTAAAGCAATTTCAAGATGCAATGGGATATTTAATGAACATTAAACATTTGGAGTTACACTAGAGAAACAGGTTGTCAACAAGAAAATATCTCATCCACCTTGAGATGTTTTTTGCCAAACAGCTCTCCTTAAAGCTGGCTGCACCATATCACTTGCTTCAAATTAAAGGCAAGTTAAAAGCTCACAGAACTCACTTTCATATAGCACTGAGTTGCATCTCTTTCAGCCACTGTAAACTCTAAAGGTTTATAATACGCATGGAATACCTGGTAGGAAAAACAACAACATTTTGTGTTAGAGAGCACTATTATGTCCAAAACTGCCATTTAATATTATAATGACTGCTATTACTACGTCTTTATACCTCTGTAGAAAAAATTATTTATTTAAAACCTTTTCATTATTTTAAAGGAAAATATGGAAAGCCCAGCAAGATGCTGCACAATATAACTTGCTAAAATGGCAGCTACTTTAAAGCTGTCACCCAATTTTAAAGCTGTCAATAATTTCAAGCCCACTAGGTAGCAGTTCCCATTGTGACCTGCTGCAGTACTACTAAAGCTCTGAGCACTTATGGAGACACCAACTCCATAACTGCAAACACAGTATCTTGGGGGTCCAAAAATTTTACCTGATCCAACAGTGAAAATCCTGTCTGTTCACAGTGCAGCTCTGCCACCAAACAGAGAATTACAAATGATTTCATACCTCAATATTATCTGACCCGTGACACTGCACAGCTGCTTCTTCTGACAGTCCAACACAGCCATATTCCAGGGGAGTGAACACTGTGGTGGGCACCTGCTCTGGGGGGAACAGGGCTGTTACTGGGGGACACGGGGTGTTACTGGGGGACACGGGGTGTTACTGGGGGACACGGGGAGCAGCTGCAGGACAGACCCCAGCACCCTGGGCAGGACTGAGCAGTGCAGCTCTGGCACACACATCAGCTGTCAGAGCTGCACTCCAGGGGACAAAATGCAATTCCTTTAAAAATTCTTCAGGCAAAAACAGTGTAAGATTTTTATTACTGAAAGGAAGAAGCAAGGACTCACACTGTCATAGTCCATCAGCTCTGAGGACTGGCCAAAGAGGCGCTGGGCCAGCAGTTTGCCTGCAGCGATGGCTGTGGGAGTCAGCTCAGGGCGGCCCTGAGGAGAGAGCACAGAGCTGCCTTTGAACCCAGAGACAAGCAGCATCCAAGGAGTTCTCCTGGGACCACGGGCAGAGGAAGGCCAGATCTTTGGAATTCCAGCCTGGCAGCCAGGGCTCAAACAGAGAAGGCAGGAATAACTTCTCTCCAAACATGCTTTTAAGTCTCTGAGTTCACTGTCTGTCTTAATGGAGGGAAAAAATGTCATGAATGTGTCAAATCTTTACATCTTATCATGTCACCTCTTGAAAAGCAGCACATATTCACATGCTAACCACTCAGTTCCCCCTTTCTCTCCATAGAAAGTCATCAAGAAATTTTTTAGATGGTCTTTTTAGAGCAGGAAGAGCCTGGTGTAAAGCAACAGTGTTTTTATAACATCAAACCGTTTAAAAAAATTTGTCTGACAAGTTTTTACAGAACCCAGGCACAAAACACAGCTATTTGTAGGCACTATTGCTGACTTCCTAAGCTGGCCCTGGGTTGGAGAAGTGGAGCTGGTCCTGGTCTCAGGCTCTGCTATTACAGGGGAGCTGAAAAGGATTGGTATTGGCAAATACTGATTTCCTGGGACTGAAAAATGGAATGACAGCAGGGTATGGCCAGGACATGCTCCAGTTCAAGCCATGAGCTCATCCAAGACACATCATCAGGACGCTCGTCTGACATGAGGAAAGAGGTCACCAATCCCAAAGGAATGATGTGGAGATACAAGAAAGCCATAACTGAGAAACTCCCCTGTGGGACAGCATGGAATGCTTTGTGAAATGTGGGAAGTTTGGATTCATACAGGTCCTATTTAGGTGCAACACTTGTCATGCTCCTGCAAAGCCCAGTTTGGAGGCAATCGTTCAATAAACTCTCAAAACCAGTTTTCAGCAGAAAATAAGAATTCCTCACCACACACATTCAAAGTTTTCCACTTATTTTCATTACCCTGAAGTTTTTTAGCATTTACTACAATCCAATCTTCTCTCCCAGCTTATCTTTTTTTGCAAGTTGCTAGATAGACTCTGGTATTAGCTACCATTTCCTTCAATACACTAACCATTACCTGCATGTTAATGTGCATTTATGCTTTTGTCTGTACTAATAACCACTTCAAAGTCTACTGCAAAAAACCAAACTGAAACATTATGTCTAACCTGATAACAGAAATTACAATTCTAAATGTTAATGAAGACTAATCTGTTTTTCCTCCACAGCTCATGACAAATCACAAAACTGCAAGCCTATCCCTTTCTTCCCCCTAACATCCATCACGTCACAATTTTTTAAACCCAGCATTTTGACTTTAAAGTCTGTAAATATCATTTACCAGATGAAATTTGCCATTTGTTTTTTCTTATACGCATTTGCCTGAAACATGGCTGCCAATCACTTCTGCAGCAGGAAATACAGATGTTGTTTTGGCATTCCAGAAATGAATAGAAGATTGGAACGAGAGATAAAACTGTGAAAGCACCGCCATGCATTCCATAAAACCCAGCTAATTACTAAAACATCCACGCAGATAAAGCCCAATTTCTCATAAACAATGACTTAAAGACCTTTCTTGGTAAATATTTGAAATTAACATTCGCTTTGCAGTCATGTGTAGAACTACCCCACTGATTATTATGGATACGACTTGTTCATAAGAATCCTCCAATGTATTATAGGTTTAAACGAGATGGCTCCTAAGAGAGTTTAAAAAGCTTTGAAGTAATGTGTATTTGTTCTAACACAACTCTTTTTGGTCTCATTTCCATTCAAAGCAACATACTGTACATTCCACCTTCTCTACACATCTTTGTTATAAACCCTTTGAAATATGACAGATGTGGAGCGGCCTGACCATATGACAAACTCCTTCTGAGAGTGTCTTTATGGTGTGTGCCATGCTTTTCAACAGCAACACTACTGCAGGAAGAATCTGAACACAGGGAGTTTATATCAGCACTGAAAAAAAAATTCAAACTAAAATTCCAGCTTGATCTTCCTCACCCTGATCACAGAAGATGGAAATGCCACAATGCAATTTCACATGGCAGTTGAAAATAATATTTTGTCAAAGCTTGAAAAATGTTTTTTGAGGGCAGACAAACTGACTGACGTCTGGAAGACTCCCCCCCCTTTTCTCCAAATGAACAGCTTGGATAACACCAGGATTCCATTTGTCATACAAGGGTGCAACAAGACACCCAGGCACACATAATTTCCCATTGGTACCAGCTGGGTATGACTCCCAAATGAAAACAGTCGTTCTGAGTGATCAGCAGCCTGCCCCCCTCCCCTCCAGCCAGGGCACTGCATTCACACCCCACCAGCAGTCCCTGCCCTGTGGGAGCAGTCCAGGGGCTGTTCAGGAGGGAGGAGGCTGCAGAACTACACTTTGAGAACAGCACTTCATGGTAACAAAGACACTCTGACAGGGGGAGAGCAGAGAGAAATCCGGAGCAGGAACCTGGGGAAAAATAATCTTATTCTTCTGATGACTCTCAGGGATCCCTGATGCTCCCCCAGAGGAAAGGAGATTCCCCTTTCTTTGCTCTTTGGGTGGGTCACACCCAGACAGGACCACACCTCGAGCTCTGCAGCTTCTGTGGTTCCCAGCAGGATGCACTTGATTCTCCTGTGTGGGTGCTTTGAGATGGGCACCAACACAGAACTTTATTTTAGTGCTGGTTCCCATGCCAATGTGATTTATTATCTAAATTAATTCTGCTTAAAAAAAAAAGGCCTAAATGGATTTAAGTACTCAAATAAAATAAACTTAATTGCTTAGCAAGTGGAATTACACAGCTCACAGTGTGCTGGAGTCAGATAAGATAGTGGCAGTAATTCCTTTTATCTCTAAACACTTTAAATGTATGATTACTACACCATGATTTCTTTAATTCCCTGTATTGAGCCCATATGCAGATAAAAGCTTAAGAGAGTATTTCTACAGAGCACCTGATTTAACTCTTCGTTTTTCCCCAGTTGTACACTGGACACAGCATAGAACTGTGTTGCTGTTTTTAACATTTCCATTTAAAAGTATCTATTGAATAACTCAAGTTCAAAAATCTGCACTGATAAAGACAAAAGCAGGAAAAGGAAATCCAACTTTTAACAACAAAATAAAGATGACGAATAAATGAATACAATATTTTTTAGATCCAGAGTAAGAAAGAGGAGAGCATCCTGCCTCCAACTTTATATTTCTTACTTAACCAAATCCTCAAAGGGGAGAAGATAAAAAGCACCCAAAAGGAAATGACTTGCCCAAAATAACACTGCAGATTGGCAGCAAAATAAGCAGCAGAATCTAAGCCCTGTCAGCATTGCCTCTAACAACTGCTTCTTGGATGCAATCAAACAGAGAAGTTTGGAAAGCAGGAGGCCCAAGCAAGGCATATTTATCAGGGACAAGCAGGTGTAGGAGGCCATTGTGAGCAAAAAGTGGACTTTAGGAAATATCCCAGAGCAAGAAGTGACAAGTACAGAGGGAACCTGCATGTGAAGTGAGAAGAAAGGACAGGAATTCTACAAAATCCCAAAGCTCTGAGTGACTGGACAGGACAGAAGCTTTGCAGAGTAAAAAGGGGGAAAAAAAGGACAAATAGCTAAAAAGGAAAGAGTTTTAACACAATTTAAAAGGAAATGGCAAGTCATTCACAAGAAGATGGAGATGGCCAGGAAGAAACACATGTCTACACAGAGGGAAGAGGTCAGGAGTGGTCAGAAGATTTCTGTGATTTAAGTGCCTCGGGCAGCTCCAGAGTCCAGTCAGAGATTTGCAGGGCTATTCCCAGGACATCATCTAACCTGTTACATCTCTTCCAAAACTCAGGGCACCTGTAGGGTTTATATCTGAGAGACCCTTAAACCATTTAAAACATGGCAGAATGAGAAATCTTTCAAAGGTCTCTAAAATTATACTATACATTATGTCTGGATATTGCTACAGTATTTAGATTATATTGCTTAGGTTATAATGTCCCCTCCTTAAAAAACAAACAAACAAATCCACACAACTCACGTTTCCTTGGCATAATCATTCACAAATCGTGAACAGAAGTCAAAAGCATTTAGTGTTTTCAGCAATTACTTTTTCTTATTCTAGAGGAAGATACTTTTGTCAGAAGTATTTTGCATCAGGGAGCTGAAAAGCTGTCTTGTGTTTAGTCTCGATTGACACCCAAAAACATGGAATTACAGAACTTGTCACAGTCATTCCCACCGAGTGTGCTCATCTCCAGAAGGCAAGAACTGCTTTCACTCAGCATTCACAGGCAGCATTAAGTCATGTGTCTAAAGTGACAAAAACATTATTAGGAAGATAATTGAAGTGATAAAGACATCATTATTAGCCTCTGACCAATGATGCATTCCCTGATAAACATCAGCAATAACCTCCCATGCTGAGACACTTCACAGGATCCATGTGAAGGAAATGACTGACCCAGGTCCTGGCACAAACACCCCAGCTCTGCCAAAGGAAAAAGTGCAAAACACCGAGATATATGCTGGGGCATGACGACATCTGGGGACTAGTTATTAGTCAGGAACAAAGTTGGCTTCCTGTTATTGTAAAATAGTTTATGTAGACTCAGTACCTCGGTTATGTCTCCAATTGCATAAATGTGAGGAACAGAAGTAGCTTCACTGGCATCAACAATAATCTTTCCAGTTTCAGAATTAGTTTTCACTCCAACTGTCTCCAAATTGAGAGTTTTAGTGTCAGGGGCTCGGCCTTAAGGGAAAAAAAAAAGAAATGAAAGCTATTGAGAACCATCTGCAGTGTTAATCTAAAAAGCTGGTATCCTCCACTGTGGGTTTCCAAGAACTTCCCGTTATGTAACAGCCCAAGCAGAAACATGACAAAACTTATCTCATCCTGGGAAAGCTGCAGGGGTGGCAAGTATGGATATGAATTCCTTTGCTCAGAGGAGCTCAACCACTATTGCCTTTGCTCAGACTATTCCAGAGGAAGTTATCCTTTAGAAATATGAAGGACAACACCCACTGCAAAAAGTGCCAAACACACGTGGTTTGGAATTTATTGAACATTCTAAATTCAGTTTCCTAATGTAGCATGAATACACATATAATAGCTAAGTAACTTCTACACTGAGAATTTCCCATGAACATTGACTGAATGGCACTCAATGCTAACAGAGTGTTGTGCATACTTGATGACAAAAATTATTCATAATGCTCTTCAACATTAAACATTCCTAAGTCCTCTTTTCTTGTTATCTGAACACACTTATCCTAGAGCCTTTTTAGTTCCCTCAGTTTGGATGACAAACTGTATCAACTTTGCTCTCAAGTCCTCAGTGCTGAGTCAGTTAGCTCAAACTCTGTATTTGAGCTATTTCTGTAGAGTTTAGAAACAGCATTTTAAATGCATTTAAAAACACATGAGGCAACTCCTACCAAGCCTACATTTTATTACATCTTCCCTTTCCAGTGATGTCAAATTATCTCATCTCCAAGAAACATACTTCTGTCGTGTTTTCTGCACAGTTACCACTTAGACCACTGAAGTCTTACCATTACACTGAGCTTTCTATCGAGTATTTCAGGAAGCAATTTCTGACCCACAAGTTGCAATCTTAAATCCTATGCAACTTTTCAAATGCATTTGATAGTCAATAAGCACAGTGAAATAACCAGGTACCCCCAAAATCTGCAAGGATGCACAGAGTCACATAAAAATGTTTCCTGAATATATCCAAATTAAGGACATTTGCTAGCATTGCATCTATTTTGAAGGCTTTAGCTGACTGTGGATATCTGTCCATTTCTAGGTCTCCTTTGCGTGAGTCACGGGCTGTGTTTGATGTTAATACAGAGCTATAGCAAAGCAAAACAAAAAGGGAAATGTGTTCTCATTAGGAAAACAAGCTCTTTGATGTTAATGTAGGAAATTATTAAACAAAAGGAAAACCTGGCTTGTCAATACAGACCTAATTATATGTAAACATATGATTCACTGCTTTCTACATCTGCCATATAGGCAGGCCCCTCAAACAATGTCCCATCTGAGTGCCCCTGTAAAGACTCCTGTGTATGAATTTCATCTGGAGAAACCAACACTTCCTCTGGGAGCACTGACTGAAGCTGTCGGCACTTGGCTATCTGTCTGTCTTCCCTCCTCTTGTCCCCATGGGATGCTGATCTGCTGTTCCTTCTCTGCCCCCTGCTCCCCAGTCCTGATGCTATCAGGCAACAAAAATAATAAACCTCCAGGACCTTATCTTGGCTCGGATGTGAAACAACTTCCTACCGTTGTATTTCTTTGTGTATTGAGAGTAAAGCCTGGGTATTCTGCAAATGGACAACTAATGGGGTTTTCTAGTTTCCCCTTTTTCCTGCCAGGCAGAGCCAAGAGAAGAGCTTAGCACGCAATGGCAGGCACTGAAAGAGGAAAAAAAGAAAAACTGTCAATAGAGTCACTTAAAGACCTGTGACAACAACAGATGAGTTTATCAAATCTGCAGGATAACACTTAACCTTTCCATTCCAGTCTATTTTAACATGTGTACAGCTTGGTATTAATAGCTAAGAGTTACAAAAAAATGTCCTGCTACTCACAGTGCAATTTCTCTCTCAATTTTACTGCCTAAATATTATTTCTGAAAGCAAAAATGAAACTTTAAAACACTGAACTGAAGCTTTATTGGCCTTTAGCCCCACGCTGGCCCACCTCCATAAGTCAGAATTACACTTACTGATCTTGCTTCATCTCAAATCCAGTAGGTTAGGGTCATGATTAGACAATGTATCTTGTGAAGTTTTAATGCCAAATTCAGGAAATTCTGATATTTCCCAACATTCACTTACATGTATCATAGAATCAATTCTCACCATTTCTTAGTAGGACATTCATTTCATACCCACAACTCCTCAGTGTTTTTACATCTACAGCTTCAAGAAAGCACGACTTTACAGCTTGTTTCTAAGATCCAGAGGACAATATCTATACCAAATCCTGCCAAGGACACAACCCCATCCTTCCCCTAAAGTCAGCACGTGTGCTTTTACTTGATGATGTCCCCTGACCTGAGACTACCAAAGAATAGGAGTCTATGATTGTATAAGACACAAGATTAGATTTAGCATAATATTTTAGCAAAATATTATGCCAGACATTTAGAAGAAAGGTCCAATGAAATCTTAACCTTAAAAAGGTTATCTGCCTCCTGCACTTGTTACACATCATAATCTCACCTTTAATAAACCCATACATTTACCACACAGCTGTGACAACCACACACATCCCTGCTTTCAGTGCCTGTCCCCATTAGCTTTTAACTTTAAAAGAAAAACCAGCTTTTTGATCTGTTTTTGTAAAATCTAAGAGCACGGCTTCCTAAGGGGGCTTTTAGCCAGTTTACCTCCAGGGAGTGCCAGGAGAGTGGCTGAAGCACCACCTCAGATGTTTGCTGGGCTGGCTGTGTTGGGATGTGGCCTCTCTGTGCCATCCCCTGTGCAGGGCCCTGGGGTCACACTCACACACAACAAGGGGGAGGCAGTGGCACTGCTGTGACCTCCAGGGGAGGGCCTTCAACAGTGGAGACTGACACAGTTAAACTTGGAAGAAACCAGAGGAATGGGCACAGCCAGGTAAGGAGCAGCAGTAAATGAGTGATAGCATAGTCTTGCATCCTGTAAGACTTCCCAGGGTGATAAAGGTGCAGCTGACAGCAAAATTTTATAATGGGTCTTCCACAGTTTCTTAATCACAGAAGTTGGAATGTCTGTTTGCCTCCCAGCATTTGAAAAATCCAAATTGGAGCCAACCATACATTTTATTGCAGATGGCCACTGTGAGGATACTGCAGGGTGACAGGACAGCTCTTCTTAAACAAAGCTTAAGCCCAATAGTCTTCTCCACTTCTTCCCTACACATATCGACACATCACAACTTTATCCAATCTGACCTCAGTTTGACCTTAATCAAAATCTCTGTGTTCCCAGTCCTGGTGCTGTCTCTCACCTTGTTCTGGGTGCCTGACATACTCCCCAGATTAGTTTCAAGACCACTACCCTTTCCTGCTTCAAACGTCTCCTCAAAGCCACAGGGTGTTCACTAAAACACAGCCAGCTGACAATGGCTAATAAAGACCAATTCATTGTAACTACTGTTCAGATTACAAGAAAATTCTGACAGGAGTAATACTAAGTAAGGTAAAAAAAAAGTTCAGGACTCATATCACATTGATAGCAGCGTGCACAGTTCTACAAGGAAGCTTTTGAACTTTACATCCACTACTGATAAACTTCCAGCACGCCTGCCACAATCTGCAAAGAGATGTGGCCCTCAGTCAGTGCTGGGGCAGTCCCTGGGCTGTGCCAGGTCTCTCCTGCAGCCCTGGTGAGGAGCAGAAGGGCCGTGGCAGCCACGGTGTCCTCAGCAAACACCCACCGTGCCCACCCTGCACAGCTGATGTTCCTTGTGTCTGGAGAGGTGTCAGTGTGATCCCATCGAAACCAACCCCAACAGCAACTCCAGCTGACATGCACCCAAAGGCAAACCTTACAGCAACCAAGGGAAAACCTTACAGCAACCAAGGGAAAACCTTACAGCAACCAAGGGAAAACCTTACAGCAACCAAGGGAAAACCTTACAGCACCAAGGGAAAACCTTACAGCACCCAAGGGAAAACCTTACAGCACCCAAGGGAAAACCTTACAGCACCCAAAGGCAAACCTTACAGCACCCAAAGGTAAACCTTAAAGCACGGGACAGACCTGTAGCAGTTCCATTTGTTTTGTTCTCAAGCTCCTGTACAAGGTAAAGTGGGCTGGAAACATTTCCTGAGGAGAAAGCTACAGTTCACTCTTACATTAATTCTCCCATGTCAAGCCTGCTTTAACCAAGGGTTTTGTTTCAAAGGATGGCTCTGCAATCTCAAAAACCAGCACCCAACCACCATTCCCTTTTGACATAACCTGTATTCTGCACAAAATGTCAGGAACTATACTGGTTTCAAGGAATTACTTTGGAGCATTTTCCACCATTTTTTATTTATTTATACCACCATTCAGGTAAAGGTTAGCCATCACCTACCAACTTAAATAGCACCTTAGTGCTGAAATAGTTCTCAATCCAAAACCTTCTTCACATGCAGATTAGAGGCAAAGCCTACAATATAACTTCTCCCTAATGTGAGTAGGTGATTTTTGTAGTTACAAGCTGGTAAAATAAGTAGCACAAAATAAGAGTTACACTCAAAGTTTATGGGGGGGTTAAACAAATGAAGGGTCTCTGTCAATGCAAACAAATGACCAGCACATTAAAAATAGCCTTGTTGAATAGTCTGACTGAATGTCATTAAAACTAGATATTGGGGGAACAACTAAAAGCACTGGCTGATGTAATGGGAACGACAATTTTCATTACAATTCCAAAAACCATATCTTACCAAGACAGTAATGAATTTAAATTAATAAGAGAGACAGACATGGGAAGCTCAGAACAAAGACCCAGCAAACCACATCACATTAACAGTTGTCTGAGATCAACCAAGGTGCACTATTTTTCACTGAATAGTTCAAAGGTTAAAAACCGGATAGCAAGATTTTGTTTGCCAAGACAAATCTAAAGCCCATCCCCTTTTCTGTATGGCCTGCAGGAGATCACAGCAATATTTTACCATATGGGACTTTTCAAAGAAAATCTCCAAACAAAATTTCTGTTTCCCTAGTTAATCCAAACCAGTGTGGTTGTAAGAGTTGAAGAAAACTACTACTAAAAAAAAAAGTTATGTACTTAACCCTTTGTTGATACTGAACAGTGAGGATCTTATTTAACTGCATGACAGAACAAATCCACCAAATCTGCAGTGGGACACAAAGGACGATCCCCTCGACAGCACGAGCTGTGCAACCCCTGAGACCCTCCAGCTCCACGCTGAGCTAAAGCCAGTGTTCTGTTTGGAAGCAAAGCTGATGTTGTGTCAGACACACTGGTGTTCCTCTGAGCTGACAAATGCACTGGAACTTGGGAATGGTTGTTCCATTGCTCTCATCAGGGAGAAAACTCTTTTTGTGAAGCTAAACTTAAAATCTGCCACTGGTCACTGCTTTTTTTGTTGACAGTTTGCCAACACACAGCCTCACATTCTCTGCAAAACTAATTCCAGGATTTTGGAAAACCTGCTCAGTTAAACCATCAGTTCAATGTTGCTCCTCTACACATTAAGATCCCATCAGAGATGGTTCTTTCTCGGTCTCTTTTCTAAGGACTTTGTGAATAATCAGCTTTCAGTTCTAGCAGTGATCTTTTGCCATCTATTGCAAATTCCAATGGCAATATTACTCACCAACTCTTTTTATACATTAGCTATTTGCAACTGCAGCATTCAGCCCACAGGTTTCAGCCCCTCAACAGCTGAAACAAACCCACCCTACAAAGCCTGAGCTCCTGCACCTTTGTCCTGCAGCTCAGCACTTGCAGCTGTTTCCAGAGGTGTCCATCCCTTTTCCCTGGATGAAGACCCCCCTGTTCACTCTGGACATGCACAAATCTACCATTGCTTTGCACTCAGGTACATGAGGCATCTAACAGAGACATTTTTTGTGTGTCCTTAAGGGCAGGGGGAATACTAGAGAACAGGAAAAGTTTATCTGTTCTTTTGTTCACTGTAGAACTGAGTCTCAAAATCTTATCATTTCAGGAGAATTCTCAAGAAGCAGAAGACAGCACAGGCAAGACAGAAGGACGTTACTGAGCTAGACAGGCAGAATCAAATAAAGGTCAAGAATGAGCTCTTTCACTGAGCTGGAATATATCAGTATGGTCACTCAGCAAGGTATCACAGCTACATGACAGTACCCTACAAAAGCTTTGAATTGAAACTTTTAAATTACATTAAAACATATCAAAATGAGATTTCTTCCCCCCCCTCAAATATTTCGACTAGTTAAAAAAAGCTGCTAGAAAAACAAAGAGGGCACTGTGCCTGCTTTTATTGGCTTATCCACACAAGCAGAAAATCACACATTCCAAAAGCAGAACAAAATTCTTCACAGAAAAAAATGTATTTTTTTCTATAGGCTTACATTAAGAGATAGCACTGTAGCTTATCAAACTCAAACTATGTCCCACTGCCAGTAAATATTTTTAACATTGTTCACAAAATCCTACTAAAATTCCACAATGCACTTACAAAAATCAAGGAATATGTGGTATGATTCAGGCTACAATTAGTTAACAATAGCGGCTGCTTTTTAACTAACTCTCCAAGCTGATTTGCCTCAATCAGTATTGTAACTGGCACATCTGCAGACAGGAAATCCTCAACACCACCGAGTTTCCCAGCCTATTATCTGAGACACCTGGTGTGGGTGTGTTGATACAGAGCAAAACAATGAATCATATGGACTGCACATCAATTAACCAGCTTTAACTGTTAATGTGTGTAATCCTAAAGGGTGGAGTGGCAATGTGAACACTAAAAGAAAAGGCAACACAAACCCCCTAAACCCTCAAACTATTCATTTTGCAGCTTCTAAATATGGATTGTAACTCAAATCTATGACAAAAATTATAATACAGGTAGTCCCTCTATCAAATTAGTGAGTGGACTCACACTGCAACAGTCTATCATGCAACCTTATTCCATTATAATTAACACCAAACAGAGATTTCTTTCTTATTATTTCAATCTGATAGCTCTTCTTTCCATCAAAAGTAAAAAAGACAAAAGTAAACAAATTGACTTGTCATTGCACATGTTTGACTCCAACTCAGTGTCCTTTTCACAGGACCATAGAATGGTCTGGCTTTTTTACCAGAGAGCTTGAGAAAATCAAATACAGCATTTAGAAACCCTCTTTTTGGAAACATTCATCTCACCTCATGAATATTATTCTACAATTTTTAGGACTGTCACATCTCCAGATAGCATAACCTTGTTTTTTGCTCTTGGCAAGCACTAGTCTCTTTGATGGGTTCTGGTGAGAAGAATCCATTATCATAGGCTGTTTCCACAGTTTATAGAAGCCCATTGCACTTTTAAGAGAATAGTAGTCACAGTAAGGAAAAGAAAACATTTGTCAAAACAACCAACCTGCTCTCTTTTGGGGTATTAGGAAGATATAAAGCTGACTTAACCAGGGAATCCTTAAAGGTTCCCTGCAGGGAGCTTGGATTTTTAGACACAGTCACTTCTCTTTCTCTGAATTGGATGATGGCAGCAGCAACAAACTGAAGCACCACAGTTTAGAAAAAGAAGAAATGGGAGGCTCTTAAACAGGGTAAATATGCACTTGTAGTGAATAGCTTCATGAACAAAACAAAAGCATGGACTCAGAGCACACAACCTGCACCCCAGAGCTGCTGGAACTCAAGTTCTCACTCTCCAGTAAAGGTGAGGAAGACCACAAGGTCCCCATTTATTGCAGCTCATGCAAAAGTAGTTACCATTGACTTCTTTCATTCACTGTAACTTAATGTGTTTTTAGACTGTAAATGAACAAGTCAGGCATGCCAGACAAGAATTAAACCACTCTCAATGTTTAGGTCACTAAGTATTTAATACACAGAAAAGTGGGGGCCTGTTTGGCCCCAGACAACATGAAGTGTCTTCATTTTCAGAATGGAAAGCATTGCAAATAAATGTTAAGGTAATCATGTTTACCTACTGCCCACATCACAGTGTCAAAGGAATCGGTTTCTTCTGTGCCCAGGTCAGTATTTTTCCAGGTGACTTGCAATCTGTTGCTCTCCAGTTTTTCAACTTTGGTTGGGAAACATCTCTTTAAAAATTTGGTGCCGTAAGATTCCATGTGCTCAGTTACTAAAGATGCCATTTGCTGTTAAGTAGGAAAAACAAATTATTTATCCTTAGATATATGACCTTTTTAATGTAAAACCCTCCTTCAGCTGTGTTCAGGAAAATCCAGTAAGTACAGTGTGCATTTCAAACATTCCTTGTCAATCAGTTACTATGCACTGCCAGCATATGATAATTTATGGAGCCACTACGACCTGCAACTCCATTCCAAGAGGCATTTATATCTGAATACTCCAATTATTTTCAAAAAAGTAAAACAGTATATGAATAGAACAGTTGCTTTTAAATCATTTGTTTTTTATACAAAACCAGCATCTAGAGCATTTTCTGGCAGTTTGATGAAAATTAAATACTTTCAGAAAACAATGGAAGAAAAATATTTCCCTTTGCCACGACACCTGACATTTCCCTGCAATGACTATGAATCACTAAGACTTCACGGAAAGTTCTCCTACAAAAAGGAAATAATGCTTTTGTCCTGAGAGCCTGTTTGAAATAATGCCACCCCACACTCAAGCAGTGAAGTGTCACATTGACAGGTTTATCCAAAGATGGCAGTGCTCTTGACTGCAGTAATTCAGGTTGCACTTTGTTAAAGAATATGTTTATTACTTGAAGGATAATATCACAAAACCACTCACAGAGAACAACTAGGTGCAAGCTCCCAGCTTACAGAATTTTGATATTAACTAATATGAAGGCAGCAGCAGGGCTGTGTCTCTTCAGAAACATGAGCTCAGGTGCCATCAGACTCGATGTGGCAGCAGACTGAACATAATGACTTATTAATACTTTATTACCTTTGGTATGTCTGCTGTGCTCTTCCTGCCCACAGAGGATCAGGTTGTCAGAGACAGCCCCGCTCTGAGTGTTCCCCAGTGCCACACACACTGTTCCCTGGGCTGGGACAGGGCTCAGTTCTGCACTGACGGGTGCAAATCCCAAGAACTGTTCCTATCCAATGTTCTGCACACTCATGCCCCCAATTTAAGGGATACAAGCTGCTGGTTTCAAGGAAGCTACTTCCACGTGGAAGGGGCTGGCACAACCAGGAGCTGTCACTGCCTGCTGTGGTGCTTGTCACTGCTGCTTCTAACAGCAACACTCCTGCCTCAGAAACTGTGCTCTCACACACGGAAATAACTTTCCTACACTGTAAGATATTCCATACTTGCCTGATCAAACCCACGAAGTGGGATACTTCTCATCATGACTGCAGTGTCCAGTCCAATGCCTGTCAGAAAACCAGCACACTCAAGGGAAACATCTGGTGAATCACCAGTTAGGGAAATACAAACAATGATGTCATGTAAACACAATATAAAAGGGTAGTATACAAGTGGGATTTTTACCTAAAGATACCAAATTCTTCTCACACAGACATCTTTAGCTTGCTTTTGTACTCAGAATAAAACTTGGAAGTCTTAGAATATTTTCCTCATAGTTAACATTGGGTTTAAGATCCCAAGAATTTATCCTCAGCTGACCTTAATTTCCATGATGCTACTTCATAGAAAACTATTACTATTCTCTCACCAACTCAACCATATGGCATCACCAAAGGAATTCCCTAAACTGAGCTTTCATAGGAAAGACAGTGATGCTGCTTATAATCATAGACCATCACAGGTTTTCCAAAGGATACAGCTGGCTCCAACAATCAACCTGTTACATAAAAAGAAAAGAGGAATAAAGCAGTGGAATGAGCTTGTGCATATTTTTGCACAACCAAAAGATTATTTTCTGAAGCACATATTTATAGAAACATTTTTACTGGTTTTTACAGCAGTAGCCAGATTAAATCCTAACTCTAATTTTCTCCCTTCATAACCTCACGATATCCTTATAGTCCTCCTGAGATCCCTGCCCCTTCTCCCAAGGGCATAAACACTCCTTTTTTTCCTGAGTTCCAGCCAAAGTTCTCTATTCAGCCAGGCCAATCTTCTTCTCTGACAGCTCATCTTTCAGCACATGGGGACAGTCTATCAAGTAGATTATGTCTTCCCATCAAGTAGATTACAGTTCTTATTACAGATTTTATTCATTGCTAAATTTCATTTTGATTTATAACCATCTGCTTTTTAATAATCTTATTTTTCCAAATGCCAAATATTTGCCCTTCCTGTCTCCAAACATTTGTGTACATAAATATAGAAAATGGGTTTAATAGATTTACCTAGACTGGTATTTACCAAATACATCCACTTTAGTTCTTAAATAAAACTCCAGCTCCCTTCTCTCCCCATATTTCACACCCTTTCAACCAGGAATATCACTGAACTTGTCCATCAACACTTTCAGTTTATGAGGTGGATCAGCTCTCCAGCACAGCAGTTTCTGTGCCTGTCCCCAGATGCCCTCTATGCTGCACATCCCTCTCTCTCCTGACCAGATCCTCAGTTCCCACCTCTGCTGGGGACAAAAGGCAGGATCCCAGTCCCTGCTCTGGAAGCAAAGGCAGGTCCCAGCAGCCAGCCATGCACACTCAGCTGCTGCACAGGCTGCCCGGGCTCTGCTCTGCTGTCCGTGTGTTCTGCAGACTTGTTACAACCCCACACTTTGGGCAGGAATCCCACAAAGGATTTCCACTGATAGCAGAGCATTTTGTTGAGTTTTTGAATGGGCTTTTGCCCTATGCCTTACCCTAAAGCAGTGTGCACCATGTCCCAGGGTAAGAGCAACGCTGTTACACCTCTGAGCAGTGCAGACACGGAGGCTGCTGCTCTGGGAGCCCCAGGGACTGCACAGTCACTGCAACACATGTTTTCTCACAAAAGACCCCAGATAACATCTCTCTATCCTACAATAAAAACACACAACTCTGAAGGTGTACAAAGAACAGGTTGAGCTAAAGCGATTAAAATCTGCTAGTCTGGGGTTTGTGTTTGGCAAACAATTTAACAGAGTGGGAACTCATTTTTCCAGCATTAGGGCATCTGATTCATGTGTGAATGGATGATCACCCCCTCCTTTGGCATGGAGCTCCTGGGCAGGGCTGCAAAGTGCCACGTGCTGCCCATAAAGAAAATATGTGCTGGAGATTCACAGGGAACAGAATGAGAGTATCTGCAATTTGGGCATATGTTTGCTCTTCTTTGTCATAAGATGAAAAATAGATGTCAGCTGGCACTTATTCATAATATCAGCACCACATAATTCAGAATTCCTTGCACAAAGCAGGGGGTTCCTGAGCACTGTCAGAGTCTAACAGAGAAGTTAGGAAAGCAGAGCCTAACATTGTTCACACCTGCTCAATCTCTCACTCATGCTCAACACATTTCAAAGCATCTTTTCTAACTCACTCTGCCAAAACCCTTCATCTCAGTAGCGAGAATTTCTTCCCATGTTTGTATATCTAAGGGACTTTTAAGTTGTTTAACAGTTTCCTTTTTTTTTCTAATATGAATAACTGCAGGACTGACAGTTCTATAACCTCCAGGCATGTAATTTGTAGCTGAGATATGTACATTTGGAGAGGGAGAAAAGAAAGAATAAGTACAACACAGCTCAGACTAAAAACAAAAGGTGTTAAACTGAACCTTGGGAATATTTATAATAGAAATAAATCCGACAGAAACAAACCTTTAACAACTCCCTCGTTCATTTGCTAAGACACAGCCTGATAAAGCACAGAAATGCTACTGTAGCCCCTGCAGGCTTATTTTGACTAAATCTCAGGAATGCAACATATAAACACTAGACTCCCACATTACACTGTTACAACTTGCATTAGCAGCAACTGGACAAAAGCCACATTTTCACAGAAACATCTTAGAGGGATAAATCTTATGTTTTGGTTTGGGGTTTTTTTGGGGGGGTGTTGCTTCTTTAAAAAAACAATTTCCTCGCATAAATCATGCTTTCAAAATTCAAGAGGTGACTGATATATTACAAACAACAGCAAATTTACTTTTTTTTTAAATTGTACCAAGGAGCCTTGTTTATCTATTTGATGTTTAACAGAGTGCATTTTTTATTCTAGAAAATCACCACCGTGAATGGCAACTCTGTTGTCTTTCAAAACCACCAGTATTACAGTCTGAAGTCTCTTTTTCTTATATATACTTTGCATTTTCTAGAATTGCTCAATAGAAAAAAGGAAGAATAGTATTATCTGACTTTCATGCCAGCAAATGTGCATTTCCTACCACAATGTTTTGCACCAGGAATTTTCTCTGTAGTGCAGTGTTGACTCGGAATCTTACTGTGCTATGGGCTGTAAAAAACAACAGCTATGGCGTTTTAGTATTTTCATTAAAACCAATATTTTAATACTTGAGTCAAACAATAGATTCCACAGCAAAAAAAAAATGGCAAAAGTAACCCAAATGTCTCATCGTATTTTCTTTCGTTATCAGAACCGCCACCACTTAAGAGAATATAAAGTTAAGTTGGAGTTTCCTCCCTAACCCAAGAGCACTTCTGCACACTCCCGTGGTGAGGAAGGGGAACAGAGCAGCCCTTGGTTAAGTCCATGCTGCCCTCTTGTGACTTTGTGTGTAATCGCTAGAGCAAACAAGTCGCCTCCACCTAACACGGTGAAAATTCGTATTTAATTTGATTTTAGAAGGGAGTTTCATAAGAGGAGGAGGGGGAAGATCTATGAGGTACTAATGAAGGTTGGTAGTGTGATGCTGATGCACAGCAAAGCACATTTTCAGAAGGAAAACAGAAATAAAACTGGTGTATAAAAGGCAATTTTGAACATTTTTCACCTTGCTATACAGAAAAAGAATGAAAGCCAGCATCTATGAAAGCCATGGTAAGGGAACTTACGTTTTTCCAGGAGATTCCTTTAACCAGAACAGGTCATCACTTGTGATTCCATACTGCAGTGCACCTGCAATCTGTGACCACACAGGTAAGATCCTGAATCTGCACCGTAAATCCTGGCAGCAAAAGAAGCTAACAGCAATTTGGGCTGTGTGGGCTGAAGGACAGCCAGCACACCAAGGGGAACACATCTGGGGTTGCCCAGATCTGTTATCCAGCCTCTGTCCCTGGAGATTTTCCAAAAGCCCTGAGCAGTGTGACCTGACCCCATGGCTGACCCCAAGCTCCTCGAGCAGGAGGTTGAGTTAAAGTTCCTCTAGAAAGCACTTCCAACCTGAATTATCCCACAGCTCTGAGCAACATCAACAGACTCAACTGATGCAAAGTGTTTTCTATGGAAATGTTTTTCTAAAAAGCTGTCCTTTGTATAAAGACAATTTTTCGTATGACAGGATTAAAAATTCTCTCACGTGTTACTTTATATTTACATCCTCCAAACATTCACTGTGATCTGAAGCCCATACAGTTACAAAAACCAGCAAAGCCATGGCATTGTCAGATGGAAGGGTAACTTACATGTGTAGGATACTTTGGTCTTCCTCCAGTAGCAATGACAATATTATCTGCAGTAACAATAGTCTACAAACAAAAACAAAAAAATCAAAATAAACCCTTTGAAATCCTTTTATCTGTCTTTAGACTTCATCTATGTACAAAGGAGTAATAAATGAGAAAGCTGGCACTACCATCTACTATTTGTAAGACATAATCAGCAATACATTAAAAAAAAGATGGAGATAAAATAAACTAATACATGCAGGAGTTTCTCCTACTCATTCTCTATCAGGTTTTGTTTTAATATTAACCTTGCAACTGTTCTTATATTGAGCAAGATTCTGATGACTACTTGGAAGCAACAGTTATGCACAAACAACAACTTTTTAAAACCGATTTCTGCTTAGGACAAAACACACCAAGATCACAGCAAGTCAGGCCCAGAGTTAAGCTACCTCAAAGGCAGCATGTTTTTAGAAAACCCTAGACATTACCCTAAAAAACATTTGCTCTCTCAAAGGGATATTAACTCCAAAAAGGTGTTAAAAATGCATGTTCAGTATTGTTAAATATGCAGCAGTGGCCAGCATTCCTTTATGTGACCCAGCTGCTGGAATCTGTGCATTCACTAGAATTGCCTCCCACACAGATTTGGTATTAGAAAGCTGATCACCCTTACAAATCACCTGAAGGAGGGGAACATCTCACACTGACCTAATGCTCCGAGGTGATGGTTCTCTTTACATTTCTGTGAGCATCAGTATGCCTGACCAAATCAAATAACATCTTTTGTCTCAGCATTTCCACCCACAGAAGAGCAATGGCATCTGACAGGCCAGGCCAAGGACTCAGCAGGCAACAGTCAAGTTCAGAAACAACTTCTGAGGTGGAAAATGCAAATTGCCCCCACCAAAACAACACTGTTTATACCCAAATACCTAAAGCAATTTGAAAAGGGCCAATCCAACTCCCAGCTGCCCTGAAACAGTTAAGTGATCAACAATGCAGAAGCAGCACAGCAGCTCACCTCTTTACCTGCTTTTGTCAAGCCACGGACCGTGTGGGGATCGGAAAAACTCCCTTTCATGTTGAAGTATTTCACCTTCCTGGAGAAGCAAACAGCATCAGCAGAGCACACGTAACAAACAACAGGCATGAAATACAATCAGCTACGTTTTCCATACTTGAAGTGCTAAAAAAGGCAGCAAATAGGCCTAGAGCAGTAAAAGGAACAAAGCATCTTATTTCAGGGGCCTCAACATTGGCAGCTTAATTCCACTTAATTCTTGTGTCACAGTTAGCTCCTCTATACAGCAAAGTAACCAACCTTGTAACACACTTTGGGATCACGTTATTGACCTCTTCAAACGACATTTTCCACTAGCTATAGCATGACTAGTACTATCTATAGCATCACTAATACAATGCTCATTTAAGAGCACACAAAAGTGACTCAGCAGGAGTCACAAGACTAGAACCTGCTCAGTTTTCTATTAATATAATTTCTCTATAAAAGGAACTGCATGCTGAAAAACTTGGAACCATTTCTGCACTGAAAGCAAAAAAACCCTTCTGCTCCAGCATTGTGTTATCTGTGGGTTTGTATGGCATAGAATGTCGGGGGACAAGATTTAAAGTATCTTCATAAACCCTGATTACTTCATATTAATGCAAAACCTCTCCAGATTAAAGAGAGCATCCCCTGATCACTGCACTGCAAGAAAGCTTTCATGTGTGGTCACTGTCAACCACTGCTTCCCAGAAAAGAAAAGGAAGGTGGGAGGGGAGGAGAACACTTGAATTGACAAGGGCACTTACAGTCCTGAGCAGAAAGGAGTCACAAACTCAAAATACTACCTCTAGTGAGAAACTTCAAAGGCAATTCTGCAATTCTACAAGGAGAAGAGCAGCTCCTTGACTATGGGAGGAAAGATGAACTTCAAAGACTTATTTACTTGTCTTGTAGTTGCACTCTGTGTCCCCAGTTCAAGGATTTCACATAATTCTGAACAGCTTGTGCCATCACAGACCTACCACAAAACAAGACATTGAACATGGAGTTTTCATTTTACAAATTCAGATTATGCAACTCAAAGATACAGGCAATTGCTAGAAATTAGGAATGTTCCACGGTACTTTTTGTTATGAAAATAAATTGTCAAGTCCAACATACCTGCCCTGAGAAACCAGTAAATACAGTTCTGTGTTTTAAACAAGGACCAAGCTAAAATTTCACATGCAAAATCCACTTCCCTAACTGTCCCCAAAAAACACCAACTGCAAAAAGTTGGTTATTGTTATGCATTTGCAGCACACAGGAGTGAAGATGGGCAGTAATCTTTACCAGGTATGATGAACAGGTTGGGCTATGTTCCAGCCATAGTGTTGGGCATCTTTAAGGGCACTCCCTAAAAGGGCTGCTTGATGCATAAGCTTTTTAGGAATGCAGCCAACATTCACACAAGTTCCACCAAGTCCCCATGTGGTTCCTTGGGAGAAGGAAAAAAAGAAAGAAAAAAAAGTAAATGCATCAGATTAGTGTAGCTTAATGCAACTGGGTTCACAGCAGTTAAAAAATTCTGAAGCAACACACAGTCTGTTATCTCCTAGAGATCAGTTTCTAACTTTGTTTATGCTCATTCGCTTTGATAAAAACCATCTCTGCATATTTTTCTTCTAAAATTCAAACCATCTCAAGATGTTTCTCAGAGCTCTGAAGATCCAGTCACTAATCATTCACATCTGCAGATCTTATTTTATACATTGTAGAAGAGGCTCAACATGATGCAATTCATAATCTTTAGAAATTGTAAGTAACATTTTGACAGAGAGAATATTCTCTTATTTAAGTCCAAAGTCCACTACAAGTGGTAGCATCAAACACTGCTACCAAGGTGAATGTGCAGGGGAAGCAGGAACAGCTGGGACATGCTGGAGGGCACGAGCTGTACTGCAAGCTGGGTTTAAAGACTTTTACTACCAGCAAAGCAGGCAGCTTTGGCCCCTTTGCTGTCTGGAGCAACCTGCTCACCTAGGCAGCTGCTTTACATGCATTTCCAGCTATTGTTACCCCATTATTTCTCATCCATACCTTGTGGGGAAGGGTCCACGTAATCCAAAACAGCCACTTTTCTTCCAAACTGAGCAGCTTTAAACAATAAAGCAAAATAAGGTATTTAGAGGAGGAAGAAACACACAAACCCAAACACTTTTAGTAGCACAGGTACAGATAAAGGGTACAGGAGGTGATGGCTGGTGTTTGTTACTGTCTAACTCAAGATACCAGACCAGGCACCCAACCAGCCTATGTAGTCAGCAAATTCTCCAGAAGACACTTAATAACCCAGACTAGAGTCTCCAGCTTCCACCAACCCTAAAAATGCAAACTGACCTCAGATGAGATGTTGAACAACACTGCAGGCTGTTGAACACATTACACTGAGATGCAAAGGGTCAAGGTTCTCTACAGCAGTTGAACAGTGAAATCAAAGCTTGTTAGATTTTCCCATGACAAGTGAAGAAATATTTTTTAAAAGGTTAACAAGAAAGCCAAACAAGATCACTCCACCTCAGGGTGTGAATTAATTTACAGATTAACCATATAGAGCTGAGTTAATGATTAATGTGCAGGTACTGTGTTTCTTAGAAAGTTTTAGGATTATCACTAACATTTCTCATAGCTTCCTTAAATACCACTGAAGCTAAACCAAGTTATTTATACATACAAACCTTCTTTTGCACAAGCAAGGCCTCCAGACCCTCCACCAATGACCAGAAGATCATACTCATTCTTCTTTCCTGTGAAGAGGACGTGAAAACAGAAGGAAAAGAGACGAGGAAGATGGGAGAGGTATGTAAGGGCGATATCAAAAAGCACGCTGCTTTTTACAGTTGATTTTTGCTGATTTGGGTTTTCTTGACTGTACTAAGGCAACGTGTTTTTTCACTAATCTATCTGGTCTGGTTTTGTGAACGAAATATGGAAAATGAAGCAACTCAAACGAAGGGGGAAAATAGATTAGATTTTGCACAATGTCCCCAGAAGCTCCTTCTGCACAATCAGACAGACGGAGCTGGGATCCACACAGGTCTCAGCACCACAGGGCCGGCCCTGACACGGGTCTGTCGGCGGGGTCACCCTCGAGGCTCCGCGAGCCGCGTGTGCCCGGCAGGGCGGTGGCAGGGAAGCCGGGCCTGCTCCGCCTCGGCCTCCCCGCGGAGCAGCCCCGGGTCCCGGCGCGGTGCGAGGCGGCGGAGAAGCCGCAGGTGAGCGATGAGGGCACAGGGCGGCTCCTGCTTTGGGGCCGTCACAGCCCCCGACCGCGGCGGGACCCCAAGGCGGGCGGCGGGAAGGGCTCGGGGGACCCTCTGCGGGCGGGCCCGAGCCCCGCGGGCAGCGCGTACCTGAGAGCGCCCGCAGCGTACGGCACAACCCCGACCCGGCCCCGCGCCGCGCCCGCCGCAGCGCCGCCATGCTGTACGGCCCCGGCCCCGGTACCGCCCGCCGCAGCGCCGCCATGCTGTACGGCACCGCCCGCCGCAGCGCCGCCATGCTGTACGGCACCGGCCCGCCGCAGCGCCGCCATGCTGTACGGCACCGGCACCGGCCCGCCAGGACCCGCGGGCTGCCCGCGCCGCGCCTGAGCCGCGCCGGGGGAGCGCGCGGGCCGAGCCCTCACGGCGCTGGGGAGGGCGAGCGCGGGATCTGGCGCTGTAGGAGCGCGTGTGCGTTAAAATCAGACGTTTGGAAGGGAAAACAACCCACCACAGTTTGCTTGACAGGCTTCCCCCCAGGTGCTGGTGCAGAAGGGGTTCGGGGAAGGCTGTTCGGGAAAGACGAGAGTCACGGTGACTGCCCAGAGAGCCTTCAGTGATATCCAGGCCCTGTTTTGTCCCCCCTGAACCGCCCATCTCTCTGTGGCAGAGCTCCTCAGCTGCGGGGCTCAGGCTGACACAAACCTCTGAGGAGCTGGTTCGGCCGGAGCCTGTCCCTTCCTCGGGGTGTTACAGACCACTGGCGTTCCTGTGACCACGATCCGTTCAGGGCTCCGAGGAGGACTCGGGTGCGGAGGAGCGGCTCCCTCAGCCCGGAGGCGGGAGCGGTGTGGGACAGGGGACGCGCCCCCGGAGCAGCTGTGACACGTTGGGCCTGCGATGGGGCAGGAGCTGTCAGAGCCGCCTCACAGCCTTTCCCGTCCCTGGGCCACATGGCAGCTGCTGATTAACCCAGACCTGCTCCGGACGGCAGTTATTAATGCCTGTAATGTCTTCTGACAGCTCCAGCTAACAGGCCTCAAAGCAGGCATCGATCAAAACAAATCAAGGGGACGCGGTTTTTCTCGTTCAGGGGCGCTGTCTGTTGGCCTTCAGTGAAGCAGAGTGCGGACCCCGCCTGCTGCTCTCGGTGCTGGGTTGGACGTGTTAAATGCCACCACAGCCAAATCCGAGTTTGGGACAAGAGAATCGGCCGCTTTTTCTACAGAAAAAGGGTTTTAGAAGTCGTGGTTCAGTCTCTGGAGCAGGAGCCCGGCTCACAAGAGGGCAGCATCCAACCATTTTGTTTCAGACACCATCAATCCTCTGCTCCACAGTTGAAGAGAAACGGCAAGAAATTAAAATACGCGAAAGAAAGTTTTGTAGAACTGACATCACCTCCAGCGCAGTCTGATTATTTTTGTTCACTCCGTCAATGTTTGAAAATACTTGAAATAGGAATTTCTATCGCTTTGGTAAGTGGATTGATGACTTTCTCCAGTATCACCACTGTTAAAAAAAACTAAACACAAGAAAACCTCCTGCAGCACTAATCAATAAATCACTAGAAACACTCTTACCCACTGAAACAGCATTAGAAATACATGACTAGAGTGTACGGAGGGGCCTTTGAATTAAAGAAACCTAAAGCATATTCAGATACTAATCTTTTATGCTTTTCAGGTACGTGCACGCAAAGTTGTTTCAGCTTTTTGTTTTAGCCACTGTTCCGAATTGAAACAGGCAGTGTTGAGCATATGCTCTTCACACAGACTTAGTTCAGACAAGTAGGATCAAGGGTAGAATTAAATTGCCCCAAACACAAAACAAGTTTACATGAAGAAAAGTCCCTGCAGCACTGTGGTGTTTTGCTAATAAGGAAAGGCCTCAAATGTAGCAAAGCGAAGCGAAACCAAGTTGAACCAAATGAAAGGCAGGTGGGGTTGGCCTCTTCTGTGTTTCAAGTGAAAGGATGAGAGGAAATGGCCTTAAATTGCACTGAGGGAAGTTCAGATTAGATATTAGAGTAAAAACTTTACCTTGAAAGAGTGGTAGGCAATGGAATAAGTTGCTCAGGGGGGAGATGGTGTCACTGTCTCTGGAAGTGTTCAAGAGGCATCTGCATGTGGCACTTGGGGACATGGTTTAGGGGTGGTTTTGGGGACCTGGGTTGACGAGGGAGTAGATGATCCTTAAGGTCTCTTTCAACTCTGATGATCCTGTGAAAGCTGTTGATAGAAATCATTATCTTTGAACAGCACCTGAAGTGGCAATTTAGGAAGGAATTGATGATAAATTTAGAATAAAGCTTCTAAACTCTTTCAAGGGTAGGATCTTGGCCAAGTGCCCATCGAAACAGCCCCACTGTACACTGGCATTACTGATTGCTTTCGTCATTTTAGAGCTCAGAGCCTAAGGGAACCACAGCCTACACAGCCCTGGTGAGATGGTAGCTTCTTCTGGAAGTGTGTGTTCCCAAACATATCAACACACACTTTTCTGGCTCGAGAGTGAGTCATTGCTGTCCCTTGGCATCCTTCTTCAGTCAGCTGGGAACCAGAAGCATCCACAGTGCCACTGTCAGACCGTGGGAAGGGGGTGTCACCAGCTGTACCCCACAGCCCGGTGCAGTTCCACGGCCTTCCCCACCAGGACTGCCGTCTGCAGGACAGAGTTCAGAGGCTGCAGTGTGTCATTCCACTTGTTCTTGCTCACTCTCACCAGTTCCATCCTTGGGACCGACGGAGGCACAGAGCAGTGGTGGGGAGGGGTTGTGCTCCTGGTGACTCCTGGTCAGGGGGAGCAGCAGCCCCTGAGCCTTGCTGCTGTCAGCTCTGAGCAGGTGTGTCTGTGCTGCACTTCAAAAATCTTTATCAGGGACCACAGATGGATTCTGGTTATCAGATGTGGTTTCTACTGTGTCTTTGGCTCAGCTCCTGTGGCTTCCTACTCCTATTTTAACTTTTGTGGTTAGCATTATGTTGATTAGGTAATTAGTGATACTTTTTTTTTACATATATATATATATCTTAATTTCTTTTAAGAAAACAAACATTAAGTTCTTTAGTGGCAAATACATTCTAGTATCAGGAATCATTTATATGAAGCCTTGTGTTTCTGCAGTGAAAGCATATACTTTCAAAACCTGAGATTAAAAAAACTCCTTGCAAGATAGCTATCAGACTTAACATCATAATTCCACAGTTTTTTTTTCAGTTTTAGCTAGTCATATTTAAAGTCATAAATTAACTTATACATTAGATGTGGTTTGGTTTATTTCCAGGGGGAGTTGTTTATTCAGTGTACTTTAAACAGTGTGGTATTAAAGGGGTAAAGGAAACACTCTGATTTAGAAATGTATAGAAATCCATTCAACAAGAAAAGATGCTTTGTAAGTCATGAATTAGTTTTAGTAACAGGCAAACTTTCTCCTCTTGAATTTATTGTAGAGACAGCTTGGAATTTTGTATGGTTTTTCCTTTGTATGAAATACTTTGACTTACATTTATCCATGGCTCACTTAAATTCTTCCTCATGAAGATGACCAAAACCAAATACTTTTTTCTACCAAACTTTTTAGAAATTTTGACTTTTCAAGCACATCTTGTCTCTCCCGTTTTTCTGGCATGGTTCCCTTTATGCCTTGTTCCCAGATCAGCAGCTTGGCAGGGTGGAGTTAAAAAGAGAGTGTCAGGTAGATACCGTCTTTGGAAGTCATCCCATTGTTTCCTTTTTGGTGGGTGGGGTGGGGAATTGATTCTGTCAGAGGCTGCATTTTGTGGCATGACCTAATTAATAATTGACAGTGGAGTCAATAAACCCTGCTGGAGCAGGGGTTGAACTCAGCCATCTCTGTGGGAGGTAGGATGTTTTGGTTTCTTACCATCTCTCCTGATTAATTGCATTTGCTGTTTGATTTCTTTTTCCACCCTTGTTTTGCTCTGCTGGTGTGTAGTGTGGTGTCCTTAGCAATGAGGAAGAGGAGCCTGTGGAAGAAAGGCATGGCAGAAGGTGAATACAAAAGAGGAAATAGTGACATAGTCCCTGGCAACTGAGGGAACCATACCCCGGAGCTACAAAAGGCTTTGTGTAGCAAGAGTTTTCCAATATTACTTTTTGTTGGATATTGCTTTGCATTGGCATGAAGGAATCTGTGGCTGTTTGCTTACAATCCAATTCTGCTATGATTTGCTGCATTTTTGGTATTTGTTTTTAAGAGCTTTGACAAATCAATCTTTAGGACAGTTAAAAGTCAAACTGATAAGGGAAGAAAATGACTGATTTTGGTTTATGAGATTGAGGTGGAGATTGGATTTCACGGGGAGTCTACAAAGTTCACGACATTTTGTTAAGATGGGACAAATTAACTAATTATTCAGTTAACTAATAATTTTTTTATGTAAGGTCTATAAATATATCTAAAACAACTACATTGAGGTAAGAAAAGTATAGGCATCAGAGAATTAATTTAATTTAATTTAAATTCCATTTAAAAATGTAAGTCTAAAAGCATGTATGAGAACGGTTGGTGTTCTAAGTGCCCAAAAGGGCATCTTGTTACAAAGAATACATCCTTCAGCTAGTGGTGTTTCCTCTGCTGCAAGCATTTGTACATGAGTTCATAAACCAACAGAAATAGCTGAACATTTCACCTCTGTTGCTATTTTTCCCCTTGTTTGCTTTTGCTTTTTTTACTGTTTTCATAGGTTTATCTGAGAGTATGAGTCATTGTTCAGAATTTAATCTATGCCATTTTATTCCTTCCCTCCTTAAGACAGATCTTCTGTTCATAGTTTGTCCTGAACAAGTAATTGATTGCAACTGAGGGAAAAAACCAGCAGAAACAGATGAAGCTTCAAGTAACACCAGTTCTTGACTTCATTCAAATGCTTCAACACATATTACCAAAAAAAGGGAGGGGAGAGAAGACAGACATGGGGTAGACTTAGCTGCTTCAGAGTTTTTGTGAGTAAAGTCTTTGAAAGCTGAAAGTGTTTCTCAGTCTACATGATGACCTTTAAGATGCACAGTAACACAAAATAGTCTAAGCCCTCCTATTATCTGTTCAAATTTAGAGCACAACTTTGCTGGTCTTTCTTCTCTTGTAGCTCTTTCCTATTTTAGGTATGGCCAGGCAGTTAGCTGATTCAGACATAAGTGCTGCTTCCTTTCTCTTTTGCGTGTTTCTCAGCAAGAGAAACTAATTTGGCTGTGGAAAACAGCAAATTCACATAAAAGAAAATCCCTCCTGCTATTCTGAAAATGCAAACTCAAAAGAATTTTCTTCCACTCAGTGTTTCACATGATCTGTGGGTTTATGATAATGTGCTAGCTCTCCTGTCTGCCTTTGTTTAGGCTTTTAAAAACCAGTCTTTGGCCAGGATTATTAGAAGCAGGGAATGCCATTTGTTTTATGCCAGGCTTGGATTTGCTGGGAAAAGCTCTGTGCTGTGCACAGCCAGTGGGACAGCAGTGCCACGTTGCATCCTGTGACTGAGCTGGGAGCTCCAGACGGGACAGGTCTGCTCAGGCTGGTGCAGCCAGAGCAGAGCTGAGCCCTGTCAGCTGGCAGAGAGAGTCAGCCCGAGCCAGCCAGGGGTCCTGACCTGCTGCCACTCATGGGATGCTGCTGCTGCTGCATCCTGGTTCTACAGCCTCCCATGGATGTGCCCTGGCAATCCAGCATCCTGACGTTCTGCAATACCAAATCCATCTTTTAAGATCTTGGCCTGACATAAAAATTGTATTTCACCAATATATTTATAGCTCTCCACAGTTCTCTAACCTGGATCTATTAATATGAGGGTGAATTCTTACTCTCTAGACAAGGATAAGTCATGTGAATAGTGTATAAATTTATGCACACTGGAGTTTGTAGCATTGTTAGTATGTAAGTAAAAACTTGCAAAAATATCTGTTCTTAAATAGACCCTGTACTGAGTAAACAGGTAAACTAAAAAAAGGCATAACCCAATGTCTAACAGCTTACCAAAGAAACTTCTCTTGGAGAAAAAAAAATCCCATAATAATATATTACAAGATTTCAATTTTCTATTAACATGGAGGCAATTTATGGACACCCAGTTTGGGTGGTTTAACCAGCTGAACCTCTGGCTTTGTCTAATTTGCAGTTATTGCCGTTCACCATTTTTACTTGTATAATGAAATATCTAGACAACAGCAAGGGTTTTATCATGCAAGTAAACAGCTGTGGGCAGGCAGAAGCAAGTTTGCTCCTCCCATGCTTCCAGCCTGAAGAATATAATTCAGCTCGAAGTTAGAAGTCTTTTAAAAGTGTCGTCACGGGACGTTGCTCAATCTGGGAAGTCTTGGCACTACTTTACGCTCCTAAGCAGAAGCTGGGCTGCCCCCACCCACCAGTTCACAACTGGCTGGAGTGACCTGCAGGGACATCTCCAAAGCAGAGCTACACACTTACACAGGGGCAGTGCTCACAGTAAGTGTTACTGGTTTAAACTCTTCTCCACAGCTCAGCAGGAGAATCAGTTCTGTGTTAATTTGGATTGTGGGTGGCAGGAGGGATTGTGCAGACACAACCGGCTTTTGACTGGACAGGAAATTACAGTCAGTGAAGCTGGAGTGCTGTATTGCTTATTTCATTCTTTGTTCTGCTTGATGTCTGGATTATGAGAAAATATTTGTTGAGCCAAAGCTCTTTTGTACATGGAAGGGATACTTCAGAGTTGTTCTGTATGGACCTGGGGTACTGTGCTATACTGCAGGGTCTTAGTTATGTTTGGTTTAGTGTTCTTACTAAAAACACTTCAGTCTTCACCTACGTCTTTTTCTCTACAATTCTTTATTCAATTCATCCACTCAAAATTTTTTTGTTTTCTCTTGTCATGCTCCCAGTTAGTCCCCAGTTCTTTCAAGGCCCTCTCCTATCATGTGACAAAGCCTGTTCTCAGATCTTCAGCTCCTCTTTCTGCCACATGTGATAAAAAAACAATTTTCAAGTCTTTAAAAAGTTTCTAGGCTAGAGCCTCAAACACTTGCTGACTAGGTCTGAGCTTTGCAGTGAGAATACAGAACTACTACCACATTGCGTTTGTTTTTTTGTTTTTCTTACTAGTTTCTTCGATGGTGCAATTTAATTGCAGCTGGACTGTATTGTTCCCAGCTCGAAGGAAACAAAACAGACAAGCCGAGAACAAGATTTACCAGAATAAGCCTTTTCTTTTATCTTAGAGCTGTTTGTAGCAGACTAATTTTCCAACTAGAAGCTATAGAAATTCAGATGTACTGTTTATAATATATTGATTGCACCTCCTCCAGTAGTTACCATTAAGCAATTTGCTTTGCATACCTCCCCTGCCTCCAGCAGCACTATATTTAACCCAGGTCTAGGTCTTGTTCCTACAAATTCTGCTCTGGCTGTAGCATGCCACGCCTGAGCTGAAAAAAGAACTAAATCCCCCGGGCCAAATTCATTCCTGGAGTTGCTTGATTGAACAGAGAGCATTTACCCTGAGCACAGATTTGGCTCCTACCTGACTTTGTCAGCAGTCGCTGTGCTGTAACTAAGTAACGAGAGCACTGTCGTTAGGGGGTAGATGAAGAGCTTTCTCTCCGGTTATTAGAGCACCGAGCACCTTTAAGGAGTGCAGAAATCTGTGAAAGGAGGAACTGGGGAAAAGGACACCGCTCCTTTTAGAGCCCGTGTCACAGAACTGATCAGCTATTCCTGTGATGTGATCGAATGTGACTGAATACTGCAGGCTCTTGGACTCTTATTCTGTAAAATCCACAGGAGAGCAGCACAGGAAAGGATCGGAGGGAACAGCTTCTGCTATACTGAGAAAGGTACTTATTTGTATTTTCTTATTTCTCAGGCTTGACAGGATTTGTTATCTTTGATAATGTCACTGTTTTAAACAGTGGTGCCTGTGAAAGAAGTGGTGTTTTCCACGTTCTGAGTGGCACTCATTGTCAGGAAGCCAGTCCGTGGGCAGCAAGAGCTTTCTCAGAGAGAGAGTAGGACATATTTGTGTGTAGTGCATTTGTAGTGCATTGTAAACCTTGACAGCTGAAAGAAGTGAGATGAGATAGCCCCAACTGAATTGAAAATGTAATTTATGGCTGTAAGCATGCTGGAATGTGGTACTCATTTGTATTCAAGAAAAAGCCGAATGCAAGTCAAGCTTCAGTTCAGTCACATTTGCCTGAATAGCTGCTTTTATAAATGTTTCTCTGCACATGTATTTTAAGGGGGTTTTCCTTCTCAAGAGTGAGTTCTGCTACTGCAAAATGTCTGTGAAGAAGAGACAAAAAGCTAGTACTTTTGCTTGCTAGCCCTGTTGCTGCTTATAGAGTATCCTTCTGATGCCCCTAATAGGTATTTTTTACCTTCTGTCCTTTAAAAACAAACTCATATTTACCAATAATGTCAACCACGTCATACCAATGAGCTCCATAAACAACCTTGACTTTGTCTCTGCACTTAAGCTTACTTTTTTCTGCTTACTCAGCCATGGACTTCTCTAACAAAGCCCTCAGGTTCAGAACCATATGGATTTGCACAGCACTGCAGTATTTAAATGCAAAAGGAAAATTTCCCGATTTTTAGCTTTAGTTTGACCATATGAGCACTGCAAACAATTTACTCCTCACTCATGTTTAGCAGTATTTCTTAGCAGCCTGCATCTGGTATGAGGTTTATCTCTGCCAGTCTCATACTGTTGTCTTTCAGCATTCCTTCAGGAACACTGGAAGTAGAACTGACTGGGAATTTTCTGAAAAAACATGATTTTGGCAGCAGTCCTTGAAACAAGATGTTAATGTGTGAGGCTGTCCTAACGCTCTGTCAGGAGAGATTTCTCAGAAAGCAATTTCTAGCCAAAGTAAGAGACCCTCTTTGCCCGTTCCAGCTACTTTTCTGGGCAGGGCATTCACTCAGGATCTAAGACCAAGGTCTCATACCCTGCTCTGTCTCAGGTTGCCCCTTTCCACGTGGTGCTTTGGTTACCTGCTGTGCTGTGCTGTCCCACCTTGCCTGGCCTGTTAGAGCTGTTCATTTCCATAGAAACAAGTCATCATTTCAGCAAAGATTTCCCTCCTAATCTTTCAGATCCCTCAGTGGGTGTCCTCGCTACCAAGTTTCAGTCATTCACTTCCCCCCAGCCTGAAGAGCAGCTTGTGGACAGCAGGAAGCTGTTCTGGGAGAGAGACAGATTTACACTAGATTAGCTGGTAGCCTTGGAAGCAGGGCAGGAGCATGCAGGGGGATTTGGGACACTAAGGATTCAGCCCTGTGATATAAGGAGGGACTGTGAAATACGTCTGTCAGTTGATGCTCAGGAGCACAACCAGCCATTTTGGTCTCTGCTCCTCCAGCCCTTTTCCCCCTACCCCCATTTGGGGCGAAATCATTCAACAGGAACTTGCTTTACCCCTTGGGGAACATGAAAATCTCAGCTAAGAAAACTTTTTCCAGACCAGCTCCCAGTGTGCTGTCAGGGCAGAGCACTCTGTGCTGTTGTCAGTGCTCTGCCTGCCAGGGGGATTTGTACAGTGCTGCTGAGCTGCACTGACCACTGGCCTCAGCCTCTGGACAAACAGTGCAAACACATCCAGGGTGCTAGAGTGGGAGTAAGGACTGTCAGAAACAAACCCTTCCCGGGGGTACCTGAAGGGATGGTATTCCTGAAACGCTGGCTTTGCTCAAGGCACAGTAAAGAGCATCTCTTATCCTTGGAGAAGTGTCTCACCCCAAGCTCTGGCTGCAATCATGCAGAGTGTTCACCAGGCCAGGCTGGATCAGATCCACATGTTCTTTTCCTTTCATTCAATAAGAAAAAAACGGTATTTGTTTCCTTTCAACCTGAGAGGAGGGAAAAAGACAAGATAAAAGGCTGTGGGGGACAGGAAATAATCACCAGAGTTCTGCATTTATAGAAGACAGAATTTTTGTAGTTATGGAAGCAAAGCTAAATTGTAGTAATTTTAAAAAGAACTAAGAGGGAAATCTAGATTTCAGGCAAGAAATAGTTATTGAAAAATTATATAAAGTATGTTCAGATTGACATTCAGATTTTCCACTGACATCACGAAAACAAACTCCCACACTAAGTTTCCATTGAAATACAAAATACTCACATTTGGCAATATGCTGATCATTCTTCACAGTGTTGCACTCACTTGAAAATACATAAACAGTTATGAAAGAATAGCAAGTAAAAAGATATTTCTTTGACCTTTAAAAATACTAAATTATGAAACTGTTGAATTGTGTTGCCTACAGCAACAAGGATACAATATGTTTGGCAGAAGTTAGTTTAGACTTTCTGACCAAAATACTCTGCCTTTCTTGCACTGGGAAAAGATCAAGAAAAGCAAAATGCCACAAAACAGAGATTGCCTCATTCAGGACAGCATAGCACTGGGAGTCAGGAACTCCAGTCCCAGCCATGGCCCAGATCTCCTCTGGCCTAGTGCAGGACGTTAAAATATGTGTAGAAATGTGCTGACTGCTCTGCATTGTTTTCACAGTGCTCCATAAACATTATTAGTATGCAAATCCTCTGCATACTTGTGTGCATGAGATACTTAAAAGCAAAATTTCAGCAGAAGCTTTTAAAAAGTTTGAACTTAAAACCTTTTAAACCCTTTTCTAAAAGCAGGGGGTACACCTACCTCCTTCACACACAGCTCTGGGGGGGTTAATCTGTTGATTTATATGGCCTGTGTAGAAAAAACCCTCAAAATTGTTTGCAACTGAACATTCTTCTCTCTGCAGATTCAGCAGCAGTGACTCTGCAGTGTTACACCCCGTTGTCCCCAGGCACTCCACTATTGTGGACCATTTCTATTATCCTCAGTGCCATCAGACCAGCAGAGAGGATCTTTTCTGAAGAAAGGTTGAATGATATAAATTTACCAAGTGCTCCCCATTCACCAGGTTATGTGAGCTAATAAAGTCAAAATTAGATTCTAAACCCTCTAGCATCAGAATGCTAAAGTACTGTCTGAATGCCTGGAGACTCCTAATAAACTCTTAAACAACCAATCAGTACTTGGCAGTTAGATTAAACGCAGGAAAAATTATAGCAGGACTGGCTGTAACATCATCTTTCCTCAAAGGCCTCAATTGTCAGCAGGCTGAAAGCACTTAAGGAAAGTGTTTGAAGCACTGCTTTTCTCCTCTTTTTCCCAGTTGTTTATAAACTCAGGAATGATAATGTCACATAGGCATTTGCTGCCTTGGTTTCCCAAAATCGTGTTCTTTAGTTAATGCAGATAAAATCCCTCTGCCTTTCCTCAGGTGTTATCCATATATTCATAGCAGGGACTTTTCTGAAAAAGTTTAGTACAACTTTACAACTTTAACTTGCTCTTGTGGCAACACAGATGTAGGTAAGATGTAGGTAAGACAGCTCATGCAAGATCAGAAAAACATTGCCAAAATGAGACTCAAACCTCAGTCCCCTGACTCAGGATCACAAAGGTTACTTTCATTCCAGCCCTGGAGAATAGCAGTCTAATATATGTACTGTCTTTTTAGAAAAAATATTTTTAAATAATGTTTAGGCCTTAATTTTCAGTACAAAGCAAAGCAATATCAGTTTATCCAAGCTCAAATTGTAATGAGAGGCTCTGTAATTAGGCTTAGAAGGATTCACTTTGATTAGAAAAATGTCCTATCTAACCACTTTCAACCTCCCAGGTATTTGAATATCTGTCATCTCTTATTTTGGCATCTGCAGGGAATGACATCTTGTTAATTACTCATGATCATACTCCATTTTTATGGCTTTAGAAAGACTGGAGATCCTGTAATAGTAAGGGGATCCTGAATCCCCTGACTCAACAACTGTTGGCAGCTAACAGGTCCCTAAGTCTGAGCCAGTCTGGAGGCTTCTTTTATAGCCATTGGAATGACTTAGGTGTTTTATTGACAAAGGCAGGTAAGTTGGGACAGCATATTCCCACATTTTGTGTCTGCTTCTCTCTTTGAAAGTGCCTTTTTAAATCTCTGTAAGCTGAAGCAGAGGTACTGCATTCAAACACTGATTGTTTGATTATGGTTTGCAGCAGGGGAAACTGCTGAACTGCACTATCCAGTTACCAGTTGGGCTTATGAAACCTGCCAGAATGAGGAAGATTAGATGCATAAGAAAATAACTCAGTGCTTTAGAAAGGCTCATCAGTAGTTTGACAGGTCTGGGCATGAAATTTTAATATGTTTTCTTTTAAACTCCCTCTTCTCAGAAGCAGATGTAGTGATACGTGTTATTCATTCCTTTCCAGAACGTTGTCCCTCCAGTTCTGTTTATTCTCTTGCTGAATTTTTCATTTGCCTACTATTTTCCACTTCAAATTTTAGCTTTCAAAGAGCAGGCTCACTTTCTTATGGTGTTTCTAAAGCACAGAAGAGGTTGCAGTGCTAACCTGTGTATTTGGAACCCCAGTACAAGCATTAAATAATAAGAGCAGCTGCCTTGTAATAAGTGGTTATGGGAAACTTGACTGTGTGCAAGTTCAGTTTTATTGCATACTTAATGAGTCTCATGAATCCACATTAAAGCTAAAATTACAGTTGCATTTTCTAAAGCTGTCATAACATGACTGTCTCCTAGGTAGTGGTAGTTTTAAATTGGTTGAATTACACACTTATTTTCATATCAAATATTTTCCAGCTAAGAATATGAAAGCAATTACCTGTTTTGGTACAGATCCTTTTTCCCCTCTGGGTGCATGACCATCACCAGTGCATCTTGCTCTTGGCAGTCTGCCTTTACAGTCTATTGCTGTAAATTTATTTTCACACCTAAGAAAACAGAAATTAAGATGGACAAACTTTGAAAAAAACTGTGTTAAAAAAAAAAAAAAAAAAGAAAAGAAAACCAAGACATGTCTGTTTTGCTCCTTTTAGAAGATACCTTCCCTGGAAATTGCTTTTCAGGATAATTGCCTCCTAAAGGAGCTTTGCTAAGAACAACCCATCCAGCTGGTTTATGAAGGTGCTGGGCTGTTATACAGCAATATTAATAATAAAAACCACAATAGCTGAAAAACATTCCTTGATACTGCAAAAATAAGTGAACTTGTCTAGGAACAGAAAAAGCAGCATGTACTCTAAAGGTTGTTGCTACCTGTGAGCAACCTCTGAGGGTCTGTGGAGGCCGGTGGGCTCTGCTGTAGTATTTTGTAGCACTCAAGTGGGACTCAAGTGCAAAGATCTCAGGCACTGAAAAAAAGGATCCCTTTGAGCACCTGATTATAGGAATGGCCAAGCTGAATTGCTTCCTTGCTTAAATTTTAGATTTAGGTCTAAGATCATTCCCAAATCACACACATTTGAGTTTAAATTTATAGCATTTTTTTGTCTTCTTGACAAATGTGTTACACAAGAGGTGTAAGCAAACCAGTGGTAACAGGATTTCACTGTCAAGCAGGTCCTTCTTGCCAAGGTACAAAAGGAAGGCTTCACAGGCTGTGTAAAAAGGAGTCTCAGCATTGCTGCAGGAACAGGGAGGGAGCCCAGGGAAGCTGCCTCTCCCTGTTGGAGAAATCTCATCAAATGGTCTCATATTCATGCTAAACAACAAAGGAGGGAACTGTTCCCCCCAAATAACCCCCCTAGTTCACCCTGCTGCTGTCAGCCATTTTCGCTGTCTGGCAGACCTGTGAAGGGCAGCCCCAAACACGCTGGCAGAACCTCAGAGTGCCAAAGCAACGGCCTGGGGCAAGGGCTGCTCAGAGGATGCCAAAGGACCCCTTGTAAGCAGAGGATTGTGCCTGCCCTTAGTCTGAACCAGTTCTGAATGCCACAGTCAGTGCTGGAGGGACCTGACCCTGCTGGACTGCCCCCAAGTCACGGGCATGCAGGGCTCACAGCTCCCCTTGGCCAGAGGGGGGAAGGTTGGATACCTACTGGCATCAGGAAATGGTTTCTGGGCTCCATCCCTTCGCTGCAGTTCAGAATAATTCTCTCTTACCTGTGTCAGTAATCCAAATCCATCAACAGCAACCATGCAATCAACTCAGCCATGAAAGTCAAGTAAAGACTAGCCAAGTGAAACTAGAGAGATATTTTATGTTAAACCAATGATATTTTCATAGCCCAGCCCAAGTTCTCAGTGGACAGATTATGTGGAACATTTTCATGTAGGAGAACTGGAAAGAGCTGAAATCCTGCCTGGGAGGTGCAGGACAATTGGGCCTGGGCAGTAGAACTGCTACTGCACAGAAGGAAAGAGGAAAAACTGACATCCAGGCCATCCTGATCCCACTGAGGTAAAGAAGCAGGTTCATATTAAACAGAAAGTCCAAGAAGCAAGATTTTCATGTGCTAATGACAGTGGCAAGCCCTGAAAGGAAATGTGTCAGGTCAGACTCTGCAAGGAAAGCATTAAAGGTAACTATCAACACTGGTGACTACTTAAAAGCAAAAGAAATAGACTTTTAAATGCTCCAAACAAATCATACTTGCTCTGCAACTCAGATAAGTGGATGGGTGAACAAAATCAGCTGTACTGTGTCTTGAAATATCTCCATGGAAACTCAGTCATCTTCTGAAGTCAAAATGTGTTCTGCATGATGATTCAATAAATCAGTGGCATAGATTTTCCCCATGTGTATGTGCCAAGTCCCACTACAGAATAGAGGTCTGAAAATCCATAACATTTAGTTTTTTTCTGGGACAATTTTGAGGAAGGTAAGCAAGAACAGAATATTTCATAGAATCATACAGCCCCTTTGCCTCTGGTCTTGGGCAACTTAGGCAAAATTTTTGATGATGTTGTAGCTCCAGCTGGAGCAATGGTTTTGCTGAACTCCTGGTAGGGTGGAGCATTAATACCAAGTACAAGTGGAAGCTGTTCACCCTGTTCAGCAAGGTGGAAGAGAAAGAGATTTAATAGGAGGAAAAAGGCTAGAAAGAATTGAGTGTCATGTGCTTTAAAAATAACAGTTTAAAAAGCAGGGCTACTACATCCACCCTGCTGAGGTTAAGGAATTGGTTCTGAATCCTTTAGACCTGTGTTCAAATGCCTGATTAGGCGTCAAGAACCAATGAACTTGGCATTCCTTCATCCTATTACTGATTAAAGCACGTTCCAACCTGGGCTCTCCTCCCAGGGTACAACTCCAGCCTCTGCTTGCGGGAAGCTGGGGTGGAAAAGTGGAGGTGTTACGAGAAACGAGGTGTGTTTGGAGTTGTGCAAGAGAAGCTTCATGTGCAGAAGAGTCCTCAGGCAAATCAAACCCCTTGGTTTGGCACCATCTCAAAGGCTAAAACAATTGCTTAATTTTAAGAACCCTTTCTTTATCAGATCTTTTGTCCTGTGACTCCTGCGTGGAAGTAAATGCACCTTCCTGTCCACTGGCTTGCCTGAAATCCAGCAGAGTAAGGGGCTTTGATGGGATTTATTGTGTGAACTGTACAGGCTGACATGCATCCCATCTGCTGAATGTTACATTCAGGTGCCCTGAACTCACCAACAGGAACACACCCCACCCCTTGCTGCCCACACAGAAGCCCCTGCAGCTCTGACACTGAATTTCAGGGGAGAACAGGCACAATCTCATCGGAGCAGTTGAACTGGCCCATCAGAAAAGTACAGCGTGCCCCTCTGTTACATATCTTCAATTTGATGAGCCTGAGAATTACTCTGATCCAGCTTTATGTTTTTAAAACCAGTGAGAAAGCATCCTCACTTTATAAAAGGCAATGCATATTTTTTTATCCTCAAAAGTGTCAGAATGATGGCTCATGTCAAGGGTTTTATAAGAAGGAAAAAAGCTTCTATTTTCTGAAAACCAGTTGCCCTGGGTACCTCTGCTGCAGGCTCTGGAAGGAAGGGGGCTGGTCCAGTCCTCCTGAGACATGAAGCTGAGGTTCTGTGCAGAGCAGGTGCTGGCAGGGCAGTGACTCGGGCCCTGCAGACTGCTTTGAACACAACATCCCCTAACAGTGCCCTTGGCTGCCGACACTGTGCTCAAAATGCATATTTTCTTACCAAGGCCAGCTTAGAAGTTAAAAATGTGGTTAATAATTAGGGGAGTGGGATCATATGCAGGCTCCAATTTAAGGTTTTAAATCCTTGGGAATACAGCCAGGACAGATTTGGTGCTGGGAAGCTCTGTGGTGGCACACTTGGAGCCAGGACTGAGCAGCTGTGTGGGGGCAGGGACCAGAGCATGAAATAAAGCTACTTGTTGACTGCCTGTAAAATTGGCTTCTAAAGGGAGTGCCACGGAGCACCCTCCATTGCCAAGGGACAGAGAGGCCTTTTCAGCTACTCTAGATAAAACCATAATTACACTCTGTGTGTTCCTGTTCAGAAGGTTGGTTGTGGGTTATTCAGTTTAATATTTACAAACAGGATAGTCCTCTCCCATGCCACCTTAACCCTGGGCTGTTTTTCTCTTTCCTTCCAGATGCTGGAGAGCTCTTCAGCCCCTTTGTTCATTGTCTTCATCCTGCTTTTCATTTTGCTGCTCTTTGTGGTGCTCATCAGGAAAAACGGCACTGCTGCCCTTATCTGGAATGAAATAATCCGGGAGAAAGTCACCAATTTCATCATGAACCAGAGCAAAGAACAGAGGATTTTAAATTTCGTGCTGCAGAACGCGGTGCGAGGAGACCCCCGGAGCGTGGTGGACACTATAGACAAATACTGCTCCCAGAAGGAGTGGGCCATGAACGTGGGCAATGAGAAAGGTAACTGCAGCAGGGATCAGATCCTTCAGGACTAGCACAGAACAGGACAGCTCATTGTACTCACAGGGGAACTTCCATCTGCTGCTGCTGCAAAACAAGCACCCCCCAGCCCTGGGGGCAGTGCTGCCCGCTCGGGGGAGGGTTTGCACCGGGCTGTCCACTGACCCAGCCACCAAGTCACAGACCACAGCTGGGGTTTGTGCAGTGCACACTGAGAGTGGGTAAGCAGAGGGTGACAATTTATGGGAAAAATCTCGGGTTGTGTTACACCTCAGCTCCTACACAGGGTCCCCTTAAGGCATAGTTCATTATGGTATGTACTTTCAGATCCTTAACAAGAGAGTAAATTGAAAAAAAAAGAAGGATGTTAAACTATATGAATTTTGTGTATGCAAGCATAAGTTAGAAGTTTCTGTTGAAGAAAGAAATCCTTCCCATGTCACACAGTGTCAGACACTGCTGCTATTTAGCAAGCAAATCATCTTGGTTTTGTCTCCTAAAGGAAAGTATGGCAACAAAAAAATTTTTTTCTTAGCTGCAGGAAAGTGGCAATCTTTTCAAAAAACTATAATGGAAAATGTTAACATGTTCCCTTATGTATTAGAAACAAAAGTACCTCTTGCTGGGAAGTTGCAGGGGAAATTTGCTTAGTCTGGGATTATCACAGTTAATGAAATACAACTCTAAGCATTGTAATAAAAATGCTTCTCTGTCATGGGTATATTTTTTGAAAGTAGCTCCTCATTGTAAAAGGCAGAGTAGGAATTCTTAAAGCTCCAAACTTTGAACATTTGTGATTATATTCTTAATAATTTCACTCTAGTTTTGCTCTGATAAGATGGCCTTTCCTCAGATAAGAGCCATTAAAGTTAATGCATCTTTAGTTTCTAAGATTTCAAGAGTGACCACATGGCCTCAAGATGCATCATCATCATCATCATTATCACAATATTCATAAACAAATAGCACCCAGAAAAATATCACTTAATGAAGTGTATACAGACATTGAAAAATTCCATGGCTTAGTGTAAAATCCCTTCAAATACTTTTCAGTTTAGTTATCTAGTTTCCAGCCATACAACTAAGAGGAAATAGTTTTCTCACCCATAAATCCTTTTCTTCAGAAGGACACAATACAGTACACTGTCACTTCTTTTTGGGAACATTTTTGTTGCTCACAATTGACTAATGTTTTCCATCCCACAAAGTCATGTAGTGAATCCAATTATTTTGTGACTTTGTATATAGATTTTTCTTTTTTCCTTTGAAGATCAGTATTTAGGATAAGAAATTTTGTACCAGACTACAGCATGTAACATGTGCAACAACCAAGAGCATTCAAAATTCAGGAGTTATATATTTCACAAATATAGCCAGTTTCTGCAAAAAATTCTTGGAAAAAACCACTACATTTTCCCCCCTAACACTATAAATTAGTTAATTCAGCGAATTATATAAATTGCTTTCTGGGAATATAAGTTAAATCACGGAATTCTTTACCCAGAAATGTTTATTGTTATTATTGTAAACTAAGGTATTTTTTTAGTTGAAAAAATATTGAAAACTTCAAATGTCAGCCTTGTGATCAACTCGATCACAAATAAGCCAGTTTGCCAAGGATAGGGTATAAAATTTAACATCAAGCCTTCATTTTTGAATGTCCTGAGCAACTGAGCACATGGATTTTGTAAGTTCCTTGTCACTAACTTGCTCTTCTGTATGTGAACCAGCTTGCTTTTGTCCAAAGGTAACCTATTTGCATTTTAATCAGGTTTGATTTTAGACAAGACAGTGGAAGAGGTGAACCCCTCGGTTGCCCTGGAGCTGGGCTCATACTGTGGCTACTCAGCAGTGAGGATTGCCCGGCTCCTCAAGGCAGGGGCTCGTCTGCTCACTGTGGAGTTCAACCCAGAGTTTGCTGCCATAGCCAGACAGATGATTGAGTTTGCTGGAGTACAAGACAAGGTAAATACCATTTTGTCTGTAACCACAAGAGCAAAACTGGTTAGAATTTGTATTCTTTCTTTTTTCTTGCACCCACAAGTCCTTCTTAGTTTAACCAGCTCCCTGCCAAGTTCCATCCCTGCCTTCTCACAGCAGTACAGCTGAGGACTTCACTGGGTTATCTCCCAGACTAGAATGCTGCTTTTCTCTATAAAAATGAAAAGCTTCAAATTGCTGCCCAGACTGACTACAAAAAACTGAACCATAGTCTAGTTTGTTACAAAAGCTCACAAGAAACAGCTGTACTATGTGCAATGGACTTCAAATGAGAAGTATTTACCCAAATCTAGTTGGTCACTATATATCTATCTATATATATCTATATGTATCTATATATCTGAATTTTGTGCATGGAGGTGTCTTGACTCTGTACAGTTGGTTGAGATGCAGGTGTTTCCAGTCTAGAATCCATCTCATCCCAAGGCAGAGATCTGCAGCAGGTTGGGGGATTCCTGCCTGGAAGTGCCCATTTGCCTGACAGCTCACTTAGTGGAGCTGAGAACACCAGGGAAAATAAACCCCACCACGGACCCTCTAACGTGCTTCTGAACTCTTTGAAGAGAACCTGAAGTACTACTGACATCTAAAACTGCATTTTCCCCATCTGATTTAATCTCTGAGCAGCTGTGAGTCATAAACCAGACATTTCCCCACTACTTTCTGCCTCCTCTCACAGTATGTGGTGCTTGCCTGACAAACCCACGTGCAGCAGCTGCCCCCAGTTTAACAGTGCTCACACCAGCAAACCTGGTGGGAAGACAGAACAGCCTCTGGCCTGCCCCTTTCCTCTCCTGGCCATAGCAATTTGACATATTGTAGCCTCCAGCTTTATTCTAAACTAACCTGGTCTCTGCATTTTTTGCTTCCCTTGGACTGTAAGATTCAACTGAGATGTAACTAGAAAAAGTAATTAAAGAATATTTTTCAACAGGAGATTCCCATGTTCCCAGTAAAGATACACATTATCCAACAGAAACAACAGGTCACTTTTGCTGCTGTTATTTTAAAAAAACAACAAGATCCCAAAACACCCAAATCCATATTTGGGAACATAACTGAGTTGGTTTGTCAAAAAGAAAAAAGTACACCTTATCTAACCCTGTTGAGATAATTCAATTGACACAATACTGAGCTATACAGAGGATTGCTGATGTCTGGCCACAATTTAAAATGAGCTAAAAGCATGTGCTTTTTCTTAATGGTTCACAGTTCATCAGATGGATTTGTATTTCAGGTTAAACTCCTAGAAGGCCCTTCACAGGAAATTATCCCCCAGCTGAAAAAAAAATATGAAGTAGATACTCTGGATTTTGTGTTCCTGGACCACTGGAAAGACAGATACACACCAGACACCATCCTGCTTCAGGTCAGTTTGCACAATTCCAGTCTTAAAAGTGAAGTAGCAAATGCCTTGATGTCTGCGAGGTCTCTGTTCTTTATGAGGGACCTCCTCTGCTGTAAACTGGCAGCCAAAATAGCAACCTTACAGGAAAAGAGGATTGGAAGGCCAGGACTCCAAACCTTTGTTGAGAGTAACTGCTGACACTACACAGCTCAGGGCCTGGCAGAGCACTGCTGAGCCATCCTGCTTCCTGAGCAGGCAGGGGAGCACAAACCCCCCCCTGGAGGAGCAATGGGCTGGGTCTCACACCCCCAGGAGTGGTCACCAGCCAGAACACCTGACCCAAACCCCATCCTGATCCTGGGAGAGGTGAGACTTACAACCTGCATGTCCCAGCTCCACCTCTCCCATTTCCTCAGTACCTTTTGTTTGCCTGGGTCTGTGGTGCCAGCAGAGCCTCCTGAGGAAACACCCTTTTGGTGGCACTGCTGGGTATCACTGTTCTGTGAGTCTTCACACTCCACCTGATTAATGGGCTGGGAAAGCAACCTTCAGAGACTGCCCCCGCCAGGCACTTCCCAGGGAAATGCTGTCTATGGCCAGCCCCAAATGTGGGAAAACTATGTTCATTTCTTCCCAAGCTGCCTTACCCATTCCTGTGAGCATTGCCAACGAGTTGGCTGCAGCAGCAGGCAGTGATAGGTGAGATAACTGCTAGAGCACTTCTGCATAGGAAGGTATTTTCAGGTGTTAAATAACTGAGATTCACAACATCTCTATCTATGAACACAACACACACAGATACTCTCCTGCCTTAGGAGCTGCAGGCTGATTTTCTACAACTGCCTGTTTGTATGGAAGTGTCATTTTGCAATTATTTTCTTCACAAATAAATCCACTTTTTTTGAGCCTGCCTCTTACACTGAGAACCTGCCAAGTACTTTCTGACCCCTTGTGGACTACAGTATTATTTTCTGATCCAGGCTCCTCTGTTTTTTAGTTTTAGTCCTGTCCTCCAGAAAGCTGTTTGAAAAGGAAATTTGTTTGGGGTTATGAACAGCCAGTATTGAATTTACACAGCAGTAGCTGAAGAAAATGTTCCCTCCCTACAGTTGTTTTGTACTCAGAGAATGCTTTCTTTTAAACTGCTGTGTGAGGATGACTGAACTCTCTCCACTGGGAAGAGCCAGTGCATCCTTATCAGAGCTCAGCCTTCGAAACACAGCCAAAATAAACTTATCCCAAAAAAGGTTGTTTAGTTCCATGGTAGTGGTCAGTCTGATGCAACTGTGGGACAAAGTTGCAAAAAAAACCCCAAGAAAATTAAGAGCAGAAAGACAAAGAAAAGATCCTCCCATTTTCTCAGATGTTACAAACCTTCCAACACGCACCCTTGGCAGGTATCACAATATGAACAGCGACTATGAAGTACGAATATAAAATATTCAGATGAAATATGTACACTGAAAGTGGTCCAGACATGCACTTCTAGAAAAGCCAGACATGAGGAGCATCTGAACTCCTGATGACCAGTGGAAAATCCAGTATGTTGTCTCTTGTAGGGCTCTGTAAGCTGTGCAGTACAAACAGTCTGAGGGCATTGGACATGTGTCTAAACCCCTGCTCCTGTGCTGGCTGTGCTCAGTCCCCAGGGGCAGGAGCAGGGAGCTGAGCAGCCTCTGCAGCACACCCAGCAACAGAGCTGCTCTCACACACTGCCACTGCAAAACCACCCCATGCTCTGGCTCCAGCTGCTGCCTGTAACCACAGGGTAACGACCAGCCTGATTAGCAACAGACTTTGTTTTAAAACAGCTGGTAAGCTCAGATAAGCAACTTCTCCTAGACAAGAATACCAGTAAAAACGAGGTTTGTAGGTTTACTGAGGATAAACATTGCACTTGAAGTGACTATTACAAGTTAATTATGCCTTGTGGAAATGTGTCAGTGATCTTCATTGTGTGCAAACTCTGCTTTGTGCCCAGATCCTGAACAAAATCACAGAAAATTGCTTAAGATGAAAGGAAAGCAAGCACAGAAAATCTCTTTTATTCACTTAGTGGTTTTGGAGTCTGACTGAGACAGGCCAAAGCACACTGGTATGTGCTAGTTTCTCAGGTGATCTGAAGAGTTACTTCAACAGTTTAATGCCACATTAAAGAAGTTTTTAAACATTAGGCATGACAGCCAAAACAAGGCCACCTTACTGATCCCGTAGAGATAGTTGGAAACAAGCTGAGGAACAAACTGCACACCTCCACTGGGCTTCATCTGCTATTTCAGAACCAGCCTCTCTAATGTTCTACTCATCATGCTAAAAGTCAGTCTATGACCACAAAGGATCCTGCAGTTACTCAGCCTCTCCCACCTCCTCTCCCTTCCAGAGCCAGCCCACAGTGGGTTTCTGGCTGCAGCACTCGAGTGGGGCCTGGTTACATGACAGGACATTACAGTCAGGGCAGTGTCTGCTTAACAGCCCCTGTGAAGCCATTTCTCTTCTTTCCAGGAATGCAACCTGCTGAGGAAGGGCTCAGTTCTCCTGGCTGACAATGTCATTTTCCCAGGAGCTCCAGATTTCCTGACCTACGTCCGCGAGAGCCCCCACTTCCAGTGCACTAACTATCCATCCCATCTGGAATACATGCAAGTGGAAGATGCTATGGAAAAGGCTGTGTTTTTGGGATAAACAGAGCCATTAATACTCAACCTTTGTTTCAAATGATGTAAATGCAGCTGCACAGGTTAACTTGTCCATGCTCTAATTTTTGGGGAGGGTTTTTTATTTACTTTTATTTTGAAGCCTGTAATTAAAGCAAGTGCTAGTGGAGATCTTTTTAGACTAGGTGGAAACCAAGACTGGGAGTAAGCAGGGTAACTGCTCTGTGCCATTGTTCCACACAATTCAGCAAACCCAAGGTGATGCACATTGCCTTGCCTTGACCAAGACATCATCTAACAACAGAGTCTGTTACTTTGAGCTCAAAGCTGAACAACCACAGTTTGGGCTTAGGGCAAGGTGGAGAAATACACTGCAACTTCTGAAGACTTGTGTCCCCAAGCCAAACTCATTAATGGTTATCAAGAGTGGAAAAAAGCAGGCATGTTGCTAAAAATGACCATTTCAGGTGCCCTAATTTTGCTCAGTTACTATCATGCCACCTTAATGCAGTGAAGGCTCCTATGGTGATATCAGATACTTTTTTGCATATTTACTGCAAAAGTTAATCATCTCTATGTGAGAGAAAAGAGCACACACACTGAAAGATGAAAGACCCATGCAGTGATGAGAAAAACAAAACAGAATTTTGCAAAATACAAACAAATAAAATTATTAACCTGCCCATGGAGATGTAGGGAACACTGAAGTAGTAAACAGATTAAAATAAACACAGTAACAGACAGAGAACAAAAGGAGCAGACTCCTCCCAAAAGCATACAAAACTGTGTAATATTTGACCTTGAGAAAATGCTGTTTATCTGCTCATTATACTGTATATACGTAGGATGTGATTTTTAGGGGCAGGGCAAGCTGCTTACTCTGAAGTGCTGTGTTATGTTTAAGGCACTGTATAAAAATAAAGCCAAGAGAGAATGGTTTCCCCAGGTGGGTCCTGGTTCACTCAGTGCTGTTAAACCTCGGGAACAGTGGGGGTTGTCATGGAGAAGATACAAAGCCAAATCTGAAGTCTCCCACTCACCTGAACAAGGCACCAATCCAGTGGCAGTTCCCAGCACGTCCTGCTGTGATTATATAATAAAGCAACGGTTGTATTTATAAATAAAAAATAAAAAACAATAGAGCAGGGATGTGACTTCCATTGTCTCCCAGGAATTCTGCACTACACTTGGGAATTCCAGCCTCAAAACAGCCACAGAAAGATCCAACAGTTGCAAATCAGAGTGAAAATCAGAGATAACCATTCTCATCTTTCCCAGAATGAATTCTTTCAGGCCTGTTAGGAGTTTCTTCCTTTCATAGCCCACCCTCCTGCAGTGGTACCTACCCTGGCCTGGGTGCTGCACAAAATCCACCTCCAGGACACCAGTGAGGAGCAGAGGATCACCACACAGTACAGAGGCAAACAGAAAATAATCATCCAGCCCATTTACTGGCATAGCCAGGTTTCTGGAGCACATGGGAAATCTGGAGACATCACTGACCAGAACATTTTTCTGTACACTTGAGGTCACAACCCCAAAGAATCCTCTCTCGTTTCTGGACTTAAACCCCTCTGCACTCCACAGACACTCCTGCCACTGCAGGGCACATCACCAGAGCCAGGAACAAACCAGCCTCAGGTACCTGCTGAGGGATGTGTAAGGCTAAGCAGGTGGACTGTTCTGCACTTTACAGGAGAGGATCAAAAAAGTACATTCCTACTGCTAGTTAATGGCCAAAATTACTGTCCAAGAGACTGTCAAGCGGATTAGGGAAGATGGGAAAGTGTAGAGATAGCATGGATACTGCAAAAGATGCACCAGTGAATAATGTCTGTAATATATGTGGCAAATATAACAGCCACCTTTTAGTATAAAAAGGTATTTTAATTCATTAGAAAGAGTCTCCCACATGGCAAACTGTAAAAACAAACACAGTGTAGGTACTATCAGAATATTCACAGAATTCCATATGTAAGAAAAATTTTTCCACTTCACCACACTTTTGAAATGCTCTTAATTATTGGTGGCAAGGGATGAAAAGAAAAAAGCCTGACTCAGTTTGCATGACTGACAATTAGAATAAAGGCTTTTGGTCAGTTGAGCAAATATGATCTGGAGTCACTGACACATAAATGTGAAATCTCCCAGGGATAAGAAGGACTTTTCAAAATAAGTCACGCTTTGGATGCTGGGAGAAGCAAAAGGCAGACAATGGATCTTCTAATTCAAATACATTCTAAGAAACTACTGTTACTGCAACATCATCTTACTACAGTTAGAAGACACAACCCGTTCTTGCCCAAACCAGGTATGAAGTTGTGTGTCTGGAGCACGTGTTTAAGGAGTACCCACTGAGAGTTGAAGGCTCCCAAGGGAAAGAACTCCCCTAAAACAACACCGAGCTTTCAGCAAGTTCTCACAGCTCGTGGCACAAGTCAAAGGCAGCAACTCTCCTGCATCACAGCCCCCCTGCAGGCAATCCTTACCCCAACGACATCTGAGCAAACCCACGGGTTTGTACAGAGCTCCCGCCTCCTCCACCGGCTGAGGAGGTGAAGAGCAGCCCACTGGAGATCTGAGCCATGAGCCAAACACTGAATACAGGGCAGAGAACACACAGAGACCTCCACAAGAGATCCCAACTGTCCCCCCGAGGTGACAGCTCCCGGGCAGTGATGTGTCCTGCCGTGGCTGCAGTCAGTCAGGACTCACTTCCAAGGGATCTTACACCACCCCTGGGATTGCTGTGCACACACTGAGCACAGCACAGCAGTTTCAGTCTTTGCCCTTGTTCCTACACCTCAGTTAACAGCCACACTGCAAAACAACGTCCCGTTTAAAACATCTCCTCTGTCCGCTCCTACCAGGAGATTCTGCCATGGCTGTGCTTCAGCTGCTCAGAGACCTTCCCAGTGAGACACTGGGGAGGAGACCCTCGGGGACAGAATATTCCCCCAAGACACTGCTTAAACCTGAAACAGATGAGGGCTGTGATATTTCTTGCCCGTTGTTACCAGGTTAACCTTTCACCTGCAGGACTCACTGCTTCTGTTTGCCCAACCTGTGAGGAGCTGGAAATGAAATCATTTTGACAGCTATAAAAGGTCAGTTGTAAAAACAGCATGTTTGTTTTAGCTCAGTACCTTACCTACAGTATCTGCTGTTCATTGCCATATTAGTGCAGCCACAAAGGAAACATCGATTCCTGAGTGCAGAAGAACCCCGATGGCACCGGGGAGCAGGATGGGCTCAGGAGCAGGATGCTGAGCCCAGGAGCAGGATGCTGAGCCCAGGAGCAGGATGCTGGGCCCAGGAGCAGGATGCTGAGCCCAGGAGCAGGATGCTGAGCCCAGGAGCAGGATGCTGAGCCCAGGAGCAGGATGCTGGGCCCAGAAGCAGGATGCTGGGCCCAGAAGCAGGATGCTGGGCCCAGAAGCAGGATGGGCCCAGGAGCAGGATGCTGAGCCCAGAAGCCCACATCTTACCAGGGCACCAGGGAAACTCTATCCTCCAGCTGCAGGAACAGACCCAGAGAGCATTTTACAGAACTGCTGGGAATGCTTTGAAGACATCTGCAACAAGGAGGGCATAATAAGAGAGGCAAGCTGGAGGCTCTTAACAGGAACCTTTAGTGCTGTGAATGGTACAGGGAGGAATTCACTGATGGCAAACTCTGGTACTGGCAATGATTGATCAGCCTCTCACTCAGAGGAAACCCAACCTCCACTGTGCCTGCAAGGCCTGGCAGAACATCACCCGAGATTCACTGCCTGTGCCAGGGCTCACGGACGCACGGGGGACGCACGGCGTGTTTGGGGGCATCGGCCTCCCTGCTGACCTCACCAACACAGGGCACTCCTCGAGAGAATGAAGGTCTGCTGGTGCCTGGATATTGCTTTAAATACATGGGTGACTCTTCAGTATCAGGATTTTTTTCCATCCCACAGTAACAAATGTGAATTATTTGGCGCATCCCCAAAATAACAATTTCTCATGTCAACCAAACTTCATACATTGCTACAATCTGTTATTCTTACACACTTCTATTTATGAGAATACTTGCACACATTTCAGAAATGGGAAATCTTTGTAAAGTTTTATTTTATTAACAAGTTGGTGATTTTATTACCAAGTTGGACTTTATCACCAAATTGGGAAAGGTTAATAACTTCTCAAATAGAAAAGCTATCAACAAGTTAGGTTTGTGCTCACAAATGTGCTGGCCTTTGAACCGTGATGCAGATGTCTTTCCCACAGAAATATGCCTGTATATTAAAAAAAGAAAAAAAATCCCACGATCTACAATCCAGGGTTGGGCTACAACTCCAGCATCTGGCAGCGAGTCAAAAATGTTCAGCTTTACTCATTTAAAGGATATTTCCATTGCCCTCATTACCACTGACCTTTTGCTAACACAGAGCACTGACCTGAGCTAGGGTTGAATAATCCCCTGCTACAGAAAACTGCTGCTGCAAAGCCAAGGAATATTTGAGATACCTGAGGTAACAAAAAGATAACCAATGGCACATGTATTCTTTCCAGGCATGGTTTATTGAAAACACACCAAATTGTTATCCTACATACCTGGTTTCTAACAAGCATTCTACTTGTCTGCATTATGGAAAGATCCTATAATAATAATACATTCTGTCACGGTAACATTTGTTCTATGAAAAGCATAATCCACCTTTTTTTTCCTCTTCATACTTGTAAAATCAAACCATTCTAGGTGTTTCAGTTTATAGTACAGTGTAAATACAATGCAAAATCCCACCAGTCTAAACTACAGAGAGAATGTTGAGCAGTATTACAGAAAACACATTGTTGATTTTTTTTTTTAATTCTCCTACCATGAAAATTTTAAGGCACATGATAGTTACAAACACATTAGCTACTAATTACCAGTAAGCTTCTTAGTCTAGTTATTTTGTTTCTCTGAACAGTAAGAACCAGATTGGCAGGCCTTGTTACATCCTCACTATCTTCCTCCTCACCTTGGACTTCACATCATCCTACCCTGATGTCAAACCTAAGAAAACAAAGGTTCATAATACCTTCCCCTTAAATGCACTAAATTAGTTACTGTACCAGTAAATCAGAGAATTTCTCTGTCAAAGATAAGGAAACACCAGATTTTAGGGGCATCCAAACAAAGAAATTTTGCAGGACACTACAACTATATAAACACCTTCAAAAGCTGTGAGAGCACAGCTCCAGCCCAGCAGCACAGCCCGTGGCTGGAGGCACTGGCACGTGGAGGTGTCACTGAGTGTCACCTGGGGTGTCACTGAGTGTCACCTGGGGTGTCACTGAGTACAAGGGGCTGTAACCACCCTTGTGTGCCCATGGGGCTCCTGAAGCTTGGCTTCCTCGAGGGTTTGCCATGTGCCTCTCACAGGGAGCTGAGCCTGTGCTCAACTTTAAGGCAGGTGGCAGAAAGGGACTCCCCACCTTCAGTCTCCTGAACTGCTCCAGGAGTGCAAACTGCCCTTCCCAGCACGAGCCTTTCGCTAGAAAGCATTGCTGGAACCTGCTCCTCAGGGCAGGCACGAACTGATGAACCTGCTGCAGCAAACACACCACCCTGCTTTCTTCAGGTGTCCCTGACAGCCAGTCGGTTCCTGGTCAGTCCCTTCTGGGACATCTTGGCAGCAGGGACAGGATTTGCTTTCCCAATGCAGGTGCCTTCGGAACCGGCAGGTCTGAGTGCACGGAGCAGGACTGGGACAGGCAGGTGGTGTGCCCAGAAGACACTGAAGGTTGGGACCTGTGGTTGCCCAAGCTGTTCTCTGGGGAGCATTTCAAGCTGACAACACATCTTGAGTTGCACTTATGGCTAATATGCTACTTAATTCCAAGACAGAAACAAACTGTCCTAAAGCCCTGGCTTTCCGCTCTCCTGCTCGGATTCTGCAGACGGACGGACCGACCTGGGAAGCACAACTGCTCACACACCAACACCCAAACTGGGTGCTTCTCCAGGGGAGTCAACACACGATTTTGGTTTCTTTAAACCTCCACAGCTAAACAAAGGTGCTTGTTCTGCAGTAATCACATGCCATCAGAAGTCTCCCTCCCCCTGTGTTATCTCAGCCCTGACTGGGCCATCCAATTTCCTCCTCCTCTTTAGCAGGAGCCTTGCAACACCATC